GGTTCATCTGAAAAAGAAAGTCCCTAAAAAGAGTCAAAGTTTAGGAAAAAAAAAAAAACCCAAAACAAAACAGTGAGAAGGAATTGCTGTATTTATTTTTGTTTATCAAATACATGTGGTTCTTATGTCAGGCACTATTCTAAGCACTATACAAATATTTACTCATTTAGTACCATATATGAGACATCAAATAGACTATAAAGCTGTAATAAAGCATAAAGCAGTGTGATATTGGCATAGAAATAGAAAACTTGATTAATGGGATTGTATCAGGGTCAGGTCCTCTGGAATTAGAAGTGTAAGAGATTCATTTGGGAGAAATGCCTGTGAAGAACAACAGGAAGAAGGAGAGTCTTCAGACCACAATGTAGGTCTAATACCCATGCAAGGAGAGAGGGAAGAAAGGAGGATTGGGTAAGAAGAGCCTCAGATTGTAGTGCAATTCTTTTTTTTTTTTTTAAGATTTCCTTTTTGGTGTTGGAGAGAGAGAGAGAGAGAGAGAGAGAGCGCATGAGGTGCGGAGGGACAGAGGGAGAGCACTGCAAGCAGACTCCCCGCTGAGCACAGAACCCGTGGGGCTAGATCGCTGACCTGAGCTGAAATCAAGAGTCAGAGGCTTAACTGACTGAGCCACCCAGGCACCCCAGACTGTAGTGCAATTCTAAGAAAATCTGAGCCAGGCCAATGGAGAGCTCCAAAGCCTGCCCATTAGAAGAGTCTCATTTTATTTTATTTTATTTTATTTTATTTTTTAAAGGTTTTATTTATTTATCTGAGAAAGAGAGCACGAGCAGGGGGAGGGGCAAAGAGAGAGGGAGAAGCTGGCTCCCCAGTGAACAGGGAACCCGACTTGGGGCCCAATCCCAGGACCCTGGACCACGATGACCAGAGCTGAAGGCAGACCCCCAACCGAGCCACCCAGGTGCCCCAAGAAGTGTCATTTTAGATAGAACTGGCCCAACTCTAGTACCTTCATCACGCTCAGTCATTGAAACAGTCCAGAAGAATCATGGTTTCAGTGTGAACATTGTAGTAGATACTGGAGGTGTGGCAGCTGGAGACTCAGCCAACTACACTTCTCAAAACAGGCTCTCTTGAAGGGCCATGTGAGCAGTGTTCCTCTGTAGCTGCCAGAAGTAAGTTGTGAAGACTCAAGAACAGACTCATCTATATATGTGAAACTCATTTATAATAAATTAGGCATTTCAAATCAGTGAGAAAAGATGGACAGTTCAAATAATGTTGAAACAACTGGCTATCCTTTTGGAAAGAATTAATTTAGGTCCCTATGTCACATCATCCTCAATATAAATAAAATCTGGACGGAGAAAAAAGTTATAAAGCATTTGAAGAAAAAATATTTGAATAATCTTGGTGTGGAGAAGCCTTCTTATGCAACACCCAGAAGCCATAAAAAAATGAGAGAGATTTGATTAAATTAAAATTTAAAACTAACATATGGGAAAAAGCATCATTAATAACATTAAAAATCAGGGGTGCCCGAGTGGCTTGGGTCACGATTTCAGGGGTCTGGGATCGAGCCCCTTGTTGGGCTCTCTGCTCAACAGGGAGTCTACTTCTCCTTCTCACTCTCCCTGTGCATTCTCTCTCTCTCTCTCTCTCTCTCTCAATATTTGAGATACTCAAATAGTAGTATATAAAATATTGCAGAGTAGCTGGGAAAGTGAGTATTTGGCTTTCCAGCTTCTAGGGCAAGTGGGCAAGGAAGAAATGGGTTAGGAATAGGTTTTAATTTAGTGAACCTTCAGTATTTGCCATATCCTAGGTTAAGAGAAGGGGAATGGTTACCAACTATAGTATATTCTTGCTAAGAAAAACTGTAGCAAATTAATTAAAACTGTATGGACTGATGTGGAAAGATTTTTTCCAAAATGAAAAACAGTACACAAACCTGATCTTATATACATTAAAAAAAATGTAGCAGTTATCTCTGGGGTTGGAGGAGAAATTGAAGTGGAGGAGGCCCTTAAAGATTTACTCCCGGGCGCCTGGGTGGCTCAGTTGGTTGGGCGACTGCCTTCGGCTCAGGTCATGATCCTGGAGTCCCGGGATCGAGTCCCACATCGGGCTCCCTGCTCAGTGGGGAGTCTGCTTCTCCCTCTGACCCTCCCCTCTCTCATGTGCTCTCTCTCTCTCTCTCTCTCTCTCTCATTCTCTCCCTCAAATAAATAAATAAAATTAAAAAAAAAAAAAAGATTTACTCCCTATTTTGGGGGGTGCCTGGCTGGCTCAGTTGGCAGAGCATGTGACTCTTGATTCTGGGGTTGTAAATTTGAGCCCCAGGTTAGGTATAGACATTACTTAAAAATAGAATCCTTAAAAAAAAAAAGATTTAGTCTATATTTCTGTATTATTTAAGTCATTTACATAAATTCCTATATTTCTTGAGAGATTAAAAAAGACACATCAAGCAATTACTACCCCTCCTCCAAAAAAAAAAACAAGAACATAAAACCCTCGCTTCTTTGTCCATGGATTCCATTTACCATTTTTTTTTTTCTGTAATAGCCTTTGATTTTTCTTTCTCCTTTATTCCCACGGGGTACTCCATTTCTATTAGTTTGTACCTGGTTAATTGCAAAAGCCTTTTAACGGATACTCACACTTCCAGTCTTTCTTTACCCCAGTCCTGCAGTCCACAGCCAACTTACTTTTTCTAAGACCACGTTGACTTCAACATCCTTCTGTCCAAAATCTTTTATGGATCCCCCAAAGAGTTCAGAGAGATGCTAACAGGTGTTCCATGGGAAAAGAGTTCTGTGGTCTGGTGAATCTAGGAAATGCTGTGATTAACACAGTTAAAAAAAGATTTCTTCAGAGTGAAATATCTAGACTTTAAAATGCCAATGTGCTAAGGAAACTTCTAGAGCAGGAGAGACTGTAATTCTTCTCAATTTATTTGGCCATGCAATTCTTCTGAGTAATACTATTGACCTTCTCAGGACACACCTTGAGAAACAATGGCTTAAAGGGGAAAAGTTCATAATAACTCTTCTGGCATTAATGCCTTACCAAACATGTTTTTTTATCATCGGATTTCCTCCACGGGTCAAAATGAGTTTCCTTCCTTGCTTCTTCCTTCAGGGGTCAGTGCTAGTTCCTCCTTCCCCAGGGAGTTCTTCCTAATTATCTCAGTCTCTCTGAACTGTGACACCTAGCACCAGAGCTCTCATTAATTACAACTTCAGAACTCTCTAGTTAGTGATATCCCCCTTTTCTTGGGCCCATTTGTTTACTCACCTGAGGAGAGGTAGGACTGTGTCTTATCATCTGTCGTACATACAGTATTTAGCTGCTTGAGAATACTGTGCGTCTCCCCCAATGTGGATAATACCTTGGCACAAGGCAGTATCTAGGCCTTAGATAAACCGTCTATTACTTATACCATCACAGAAAGCACTGAAAATGGCACTGTTAGTTTCCTAATGCAGTTTTAACAAATTACCACAAACTTGGTGACTTAAAATGCAAATTTATTAGTTTATAGTTCTCTAGGTCAGAATTCTGCATGGTGGTCTCATGGAGCTAAAATCAAGATGTCTGCAGGGCTGTATTCCTTCTGGGGGCCATAGGGAAGAATCCATTTCCTTGCCTTTTCTTGTCTTCTAGAAGCCTCTGCATCTCTAGGCTCCTGGCCCCCTTCCTCCATCTGCAAAGCCACAACGGCTAAGTGGAGCTCTTCTCACACCACATCACTGCCTCCGGTTTCCACATTTAAGGATCCCTGTGACAAATTAGGCTCACCTGGAGAATCTAGGTTATCTCCCTATTTTACAGTCAGTTGATTTAAAACTTTAATTCCATCTGTAACCTTAATTCCCCTTTGCCACTTAATTTAACATATTCACAGTTCCCAGGGATTGGGAAGTGGACATCTTCAGGGAGTCATTATCCTGCTCACCACAGGCACCCTTGCCCAAAAGTCTAAACTGGGGGTTTGCATATAGGTGGTAGGGGGTATGGCAGCAAATGGTAAAAGCATTTTGTAATAAAAGAACTCTTTTCAAATACAGGGAGGCCCTGCTGCGTGATCTTTGGCAAGTCACTTGTGTCTTAGTATCCACATGTCCGCTAAAATGAAAATTGCCATTCTTTGCTCTGCTTGTTAAATGAAATAATTATGTAAACGGGTTTAGTTTAGAGGATGACAAATAAGGCTCAAGAAGTTCTTGATGAATCTTGATGAGGAGGGTGGGCGAAGTTCTCTGAATGACATCTGGAGATAGTTTGAGAGATTTCCAGAGAAAAGGAGCGAAAAGCGCCTGCCCTTGAATGAATTTGGAGGTTGAAAAATTCTAGCAAAAGGAATCAAGTTACATCGAAGCTTTTGAAGCTAGCGTTGAGGCAGAGGCCCAGGTTAAAAAAAAAAGGGGCGAAGTGAGTCTCTTAGGAGACAGCCAGGTGACAGTGACTACAGAACCGAAGGGTCTTCGTAGTCAAAGACTGTTTTGAGAAATTCTGTCCCCATTTCGTTCAAGGCCATATATATCGTAGTTGTACTACAATCACTTAGTGACTAAGTAAATGAATTAAAAATCTGTTGAGGAAAAAAAACAAGACGACACAGGTTCCACCGAGATTTGAACTCGGATCGCTGGATTCAGAGTCCAGAGTGCTAACCATTACACCATGGAACCGCCACAAGAGCACCGCCGCCTTCGGCTCTCTAATTCTTAGAGAACCCCGCCCCCATCCACAAACCTACCACTCACAAGCGGGACTGACGCGCTTCCCAGCATCCCACTTCCCCGCACATCGATGCGAGGAATGAGGGAGAGGCCATTCAGAGGGTGGCATGCGGCGGCTAGGAGCCTGGAGTCCAGAGCTCAGTTTCCCCCCTAAGCTTCTTGGAGGGGGGCAGAATTTGAAGACGGACGCGACGCCCCCGCGCACCGCCCTCCCTAGGCTCAGGGGCGGAGCACCGCCTCCCGGAAGTACTTCCCCTTAGGGGCTGGGGCTTGCCGGAAGTGTCGTAGGGGCAGGGAGGGGTTCTTTACCCGGTCGGGCAGCTGAAGCTCGGCTCTCGGGTTACCCCTGCAGCGACGCCCCCTGGTCCCACCGATACCACTGCTGCTCCCGCCCCTTCGCTCCTCGGCCGCGCAATGGGCACCCGCGACGACGAGTACGACTATCTCTTCAAAGGTGAGGCCGTGGGCTCTCCCACTTTCCTCACCGAGTCCGGGTTCGGGGGCCCGGGACACTCCCGGGGGACCCGCGTGCGGACTGCCCCTGCACTGAAGTCGGCCTTCCTCAGCCCTTTCCTCTCTGGGCGATCTGTCCTGCGGTCTCCCAGCTCAGCCCTTCTCCCCTCAGACGGGGAGTCCTCCCCACACGCCGGGCTCTTAGCGACCTCCCCATAGGCCTTCATAGGCTATCCTCAGCGCCCCTCACCCTGTGTCCTCACGGCGGCTGCTTTCTCCCAAATCGTCTTCGTTTCCCGGGTTCGATGGCCCCTTGAAAGGGGCCGCCCCTCCCACCATCTATCTTTTCGGGTTTGGCGCCCCTCCTCCTCAGTATACACCCTTCTTGGCTCGCCCCCCTTCCAGAGCCCCTCTGGCCGGCCCTTCCGCTCGCTCACCTTTCCTTCGGCGCAGACTCCCACTACAGGTCTTTTTCTCATCTGCCCCTCTTTGCCCCTCGAGCGAGCCTCTCTGCGTCTCCTCACGGCCCCTCCCCTCGGACGGACGCCTCTCGAGCCGTCTTCTTCCATTCCCTGGGCCAGGCCCTGGTTAAAATCTGAGCGGGCCAGGGGTCCCCACCCCACCCGCCCAACAGGTCTCGTGGTCAATAACCTTCTCGCCCTGCCCCCGGGATTGGTAGCTCTTTCCCTGTCTTTCCTCCCCAAATAATTGAGAGCTTTCCCGTGTCTCCTGTGCGACCCCGAGCGTGGGGGGTAAGGCAAGAGGGATTGTCCATCACCCACGCGCGCACTTGTCGCAGTGACCCGGCCGACTGTTGTGACTTCTAATCTAGGCTTTTTTCCTCCTACCCTCCCTACCGGGCGACAGCCAGCCGGGATAACTCTAGACTGCTAGCGACAAGAGGTTGCGGATGGGTGGTGGCTGTTATCCTTGCCAGACCTGAAGGCCCAGTTCCTGAGCAGGAAAGGTTGTGCGCTGCACAAATACTAGCCTGCTTTATCACTATGGACTGGTTGCTTCCTGCTGCAACAGTGGGAGGATCCAGCCTTTTGGTGTTTTTAGAACAGGAAGGGAAGAGTCCTAGTTAGCCACATACCTTTCCCAAAAGGTGGGGGCTAGGGGGAAGTTGTGTGCTCTTTGGTGAAATTTAATATGTATTATGAGATAGGGAAACATGTAGTGCCCTTGGACAAAACATATTGGAGGGTGGGGAATGGACAGAAAGAATTGCCTATTGGTTAGTCGGGAAAGAATCCCAATAGTTGTTTTTTTAATCAACAAAAATAAGGGGTACCGTTTTCAATGGGAAAGAGTACGGTAAATGCTTTTTTTTTGTTGTTAAGTGAATGCGCTGTTACTCAAATGCTCTTTCTCAGCTCCTGAATTAGGGCAGCCATCAGTAGTATGCTTAACAAAGATCATTACCAGGGAGGAAGAAGCCATTGCTATTAAAGCTTTACAGTGGAGGGTGGAGTTTAAAAAGAGTGTTAAGCATGGTGATTGTTTCTGACCTTGTCATTGCGTGCTAAGAATGATTGACTTAAAGGAAGCAGGAAACATTGCTTTACCAATACTTTGCAAATCTTATCATCACCTCACTCCTCTTGGCCAGAATATTCTGTTACATAGGGTGAGTACATTCAGTGTTCACCCTCACTCCCCTATAGTGGAAAATCATTTACAGAGAAGAGTACTTAATGCATCTTTATAAATACAAAAAGGAGATGTGGGTTCGTTAGCATACTGTTTGCTGAAGGCATCTGAGATCATGTGAAATTACTTAGGTGAGACCCTAGAGACTAGTGTTTAGTCATTAAAAGATTTATTTTTTTAAAATAAGGTACAAGGCATTAGGCAGCTAGCTACCTTTGAAGTGATTAATTTAGAACAAAGATAGACAAACAACTGAAGAGTATTTCTCCTGTTTGGTTTGGAGCTTGACTGTTTATAGAAACCATTTATTTTTTTCACTAAGAATATTAATTATCCTGGATTGGTTTAAGGGATTTTAACGTTGGGATTAGAACATCCTGCTAACAATGATTGAGAGCACAGGGCTTTGGAATCACACAGGCCTGCATTCAAATTCTGACTCAAGGTCTTAAAACTTGCTTTGTGATCTCTGAGCCTCCCAATTCCTTGTCTATAAAAGGGAAATAATACCTATCTCTCAGAACTCTTAACCAGAATTAAGTGAGACTCTGGGGCGCCTGGGTAGCTCACTCGTTGAGCGTCTGCCTTCGGCTCAGGTCATGATCCCAGGGTCCTGGAATCGAGCCCCGCATCGGGCTTTCGGCTCAGCGGGAAGCCTGCTTCGCCCTCTCCCACTCCCCCTGCTTGTGTACCCTCTCTCGCTGTGTCTCTGTCAAATAAATAAATAAAAAAAAAAATGAGACTCGTTTTGAGGATTGAGTTAAGTGATAATAATATGAAGAAAGTTACTGTGGTTCTTGTCAGCTTTTTGAACCTTTAATCTTTATAAGAGCATTTAAATATTACGAAAGAAACTTAAAAGTAGGAACTTTTAAAGTGTTTTATGTTACCATGGGTTATGGTTTCATTTTGTTGTACATTTTGCTGTTCAAGATAGGGTGTTTAAAAAATTCTGCTGAGAAGAATTTCCACTTTTTAAAAAGCTCTAACAGGATATGAGTCACTTTTTTTTTTTTTTTTACTTTACTGCTGATTGTTTGGCAATTTCTTATTTATACAATTATATTTTAAAGCAAAGCAACAATTTTAAAGTGGTTTCATTCTACAGAGGTTTATACACCGAGATGAGGTAGACCTTTCTACTTGTAAGATTGCTTACTTGGCACCCTTAATACGTGAGGGAATTGGAAGTTAGTTTGTAACTCTTTAACAGTTCAAAATGAAGGGATATTTTGATTAGTACAGGATGGAGCGGTCCAGATGGGAACGTAATGTGGGGAGAGAGCAGGACAGTTACTCTACGTTATGTATTTGTTCTTGAACATTAATCTTTAGTTAATTTCAGCAGGAGACTTTTGGTTGCAGGGTGGGGAGGTTATTTTTTTAAACTTGACTTTTTATTTATTTTTATTTTATTATTTTTTTAAGATTTTATTTATTTATTTGAAACGAGAGAGAGAGAGCACGAGCAGGAACACAAGCAGGGGGAGTGGGAGAGGGAGAAGCAGGCTTCCCACAGAGCAGGGAGCCCGATGCGGGGCTCCGTCCCAGGACCCACCTGAGCCGAAGGTGGACGCTTAACGACTCAGCCACCCAGGCGCCCCTAAACTTGACTTTTTATTTAAAAGCTTTATTTAATTCTACAATTATGTACATACAATGTGGTTATGGCCCTGTGGGACACAGAAGTAAGCATCAGTCATAGTTGCTATTGGTGTTATGGACGCCAATTCAGAGTCACATTTTTTGAAAATAATCTGGATACATAGTCTACATCATTTTCTTTTCAATCTATCTGAAGGTCAGTAGTAATTAACCATCAGCTGATTGTCAATGGAAAAGATCTTAGGAACTTTGCTGTCTTGCATCTTGGTAGTTTTTCTTTCACAACTTTCGGTTGAGCAACTCACATTCTGCTGAATCTGGAAAAACTTGTCCAGGCTAAAAGCCTTATGGACTTATTGAATGCATTTTATTTTCAAGACTTTTGGTGAGGTAGGACTATGAATATAGCTGAAAAGAGTAGAAGAATCTCCCAAGTTTATTTATAAAAATCAATATGAAAATTATGTTATCCTTTCAGGTGATAACTTTTAGATCTGATGTACTGTGATTGATTTGTTGAATTAAATTTTAGTCCAGTACATTAGTTTGCAAGAGAGTGTATAAAACTAAATGGTTGTGAAGAGGTGGAACTTCTTATTAAATAATGGATAATTTATATGTATATTCTGCTTTTATGGCATTTAGCCTAATATTTGATATATAATGAACCAAATTTAATATTAGGTATTAGAATGGTAGTTAAAATTGAGCAGGTGAGGTTAACCAAGTGGTAATAAATATCATTAGGTTATTTTAGAAATAATATAGATGTTTGATATATAGATGCTGTTATTTATGTTTATATTATTATACATACTCCCCCCCATATACTATATAGATGGATATAGTTATAAAATGTTTAAAGTGGGAAGTACTTTTAACCTAAGGTAATAGTTAAGGAAAACATTGGAAAGTCACTGCAAATTCCTTTCTTGAAATATAGGATATGATCGTATAGTTTATCACATTTTTAAAGATCAATTATATATTGTCATCTTAATGAGAGAAACTATTTTAATTAGAAATTGAGTCCATGAACTTTTTGTTGTTGTTGTTGTTTAAACGTTTTTCAGTCATAGCCAGTAAATTCTCTTACGTTGCTTAGGTAATTTAATCCATTCTGGTTTATTTTTTAGTGACCTTAAATGTAACCCATCTTGGTTTGATTTCTCATTTGGTAACTGAATAGAACCAGCTTTCCTTATTGTGTCATTTCTCAGCATCTTCTTGGCAGCACAATTCTTACAGAACCAGTATCTTCTGGTGTCATTCAAGATCTAATCCTTTAACAAGTTGTTAGTCTTTTAATTCTGGCCACTCTGTCCATGTCTAGTTAACATAATTATTTTATACTGTATAAAGCATTCATGAGTCTTGAATTATTTTCAGATAAGGGTGCTATTTTTTATAATGTTAAAATTAATTGGTTACATGGAGGGGAAAAAATGCCTTTGCTATCTTTATGCTGAGGTGGGGAGATAATGAGCATAGTCATTAGTTAACATGGAGGTCAAAAGGGAAAAACCAAAACTTGAAAGTGCTAGAGTTTCTGTGGGAGGGAGAAGATGTTCTTTGAGTGTGTTACTTACTTAATTTTCCAGAGGCATTGTCATTCTAGATGTGTTGCTTTTTGGTTTTAAACTGGCTGGCTCCTGAATTGATTGATATCTGAGTGTCTATGAAGTAGACATGTTTTAACTTTTTGGTTTTTCCCTTCTTCCCTATTCCGCCCCTCAAGTGAGGCTTTTATACCTCATTGCTAGTGTGGGTTTAGAAATGATTCTCAAAGGTTTTCCTCAGCAGAACATTAGGCCTCTTGCACTAAGAGGCAACAGTGTGTGTATCCTGTTAATTGGGTAGATTATCACTGAAACTGGGATTTGACCTCACTGCCAGAAATGCGCTCCTTGGAAACTAACATAACCAACCGTCCTATAAAACTGGAAGTGCATTGTTTTTGTATGTTACTTTGATGACCTTATCTTTTCTGGTATCCAAGTTAAAGCATTTGCTATATATCTGTGTTTGTCACAATACCTTTGACATCTCTGATTGACTATATAACTAGAAATTACTGCTGTTTGTGCTGCATGGAGTTACTGCCACCTAGATGATTTCTTGCTGAATCAGCTAATAGAGTAATGTACTCTATCCAAGACTGTCCAGAGGCCAGCTTATATCCGCTCTTGTGGCAAGGAAGGAATGCATAATAGACTCTCTTTGCCCTCTGACCAGAGTGCAATGAGCTCTTAAGAGTTTTTACCTCCCTCTCCCCCTACCACCAAATCGCAGTCTCTTTAATAAGGTATGGTCTTACTCCTTAGTGGTGTTCTCACATGTTTGATTTTCTAGTCCTGGTGCCCAAATCAGTTAGCTAGTAAGAAAAACAGTAGTCAACAGTAGAAATAAGTATATTTCCTGAAATGCTGATAGCATTTTTTTCCTTCGTAAAAATTTTTTAGCTCATGTTCTCTAAACCTGTGAACTCATTTGTTCTTTAAATTCAGATAGAAATGCTTTAGAACAAGTTAACTGCCTATTTTCCCAATGTTTATGAAATTCTTAAGTATAACATAGCCTTGCGTGAAAAAAAATCCTCATGTATTTAGTTAGTAATAAACTGCCTCCTATAGTAATCACAGGAAATAAATTCATCTAAACCAAACTTGTTTTTTAAAAATTCTTAAGTCATAAGAGAGAGTAATGTGCCCTCCTTGCTTTGGCCTTTACTCAGAGTAAGTCAAGAATTATTAGCTTCCTGGGGCCCCTGTTAAACTTAATTGGGATGTCTGTTTTTGTAGGGGTCTCTATAGTTTCCTGCCCACCTGATAAATGCAACTATGAAAAGGTCATTCTAGTTTCTCTGATCTGGGTGGCAAAGTTTATAAACCTGATGCCTCTTACGGTAAATGTTATGTTTAATTTTGCCAAGGTGTGAGTCCTGAGGTCACACCCAGTCTTTGATGAAACTAAGAACATTTTCATTCTTTCTCTCCTTTCTACTCACTAACTTCCTTTATTACTTTCATGTATGATACTCTTTAATCACAAATTTTTTAGTTGGTGTAGGATTTATCTTTCATGTTATTACCTTCTATGGTAGTAAGGTTGGTACAGCATTGATGGTAATTAATCAGTGCCTAGCAGACCTGTAGTTAAAATTGCATGTGTAAGACAAGATACTGTATTTGTGCTAAGCAGATGATGTGTGGAAGTTATTATGTAGGTAGACACAGTTTAAAAAGAATAAATTGGTTTTATCAATTGGTAACAGGTTAAGAACATGGGCTCTTCACCCTCCGCTACCCCTATTCCTTTTAAAAAATCAGATGCTCTTTTTTTGCTTTAAAACATGGTGGTAATTCTGAACGTGTCTGCCTCACTCATCTGACATTAAGTGCTTTGTCTTTTTTTCAGTTGTCCTTATTGGAGATTCTGGTGTTGGAAAGAGTAATCTCTTATCTCGATTTACTCGAAATGAATTTAATCTCGAAAGTAAGAGCACCATTGGAGTAGAGTTTGCAACCAGAAGCATCCAGGTTGATGGGAAAACAATAAAGGCACAGATATGGGACACGGCAGGGCAGGAGCGATACCGAGCTATAACATCAGCGTAAGTCTCATAGTCTTTAAGTTCTGAGAAATACACTGTCATCAACTGAATTAGCTGATTTTTGGTATTGGAAAAGGTACTTTTTTTTCCTTGTAAGAATTCCTGTATCAGGATTTTGAAATGTATTTATAAATGTGCTTTTAAACATACATAATCCATATATTTAGTTCTTCCTGGTGTTCCCTTCCATCTTATGGTTGTTTTCTAATAGTTACATACCTGTTTCTGTTTTCAGATACTATCGTGGAGCTGTAGGTGCCTTATTGGTGTATGACATTGCTAAACATCTCACATATGAAAATGTAGAACGATGGCTGAAAGAACTGAGAGATCACGCTGATAGTAACATTGTTATCATGCTTGTGGGCAACAAGAGTGATTTGCGTCATCTCAGGGCAGTTCCTACAGATGAAGCAAGAGCTTTTGCAGGTTGGTGATATGAATTTCATGACATTACAGAGATTCTTACTCTTATGTCATGCAGTTTTGATACTTTCCCAATGACTGTAATCGCTTACAGTAGTTTCAGAAAGGTAAACATGAATGCTCAGCAAGGATTGTTATTCTGAAAGTTTGTGGTGACTTTCTCTTTTGCTTAACTTTGAGTCATTAAAACACTGTAGTTTTTGCTGCCAAAAGTTGAATATAAATCCCATTTTCTTTCCTTTCCCTGGAAGGGGGTAGATGACATCTATCAGTTTATTCTGTGCTTCTTGTCTCTTTCTGTTATGTCTGTGTTTTACCAAGGCTGCTCTTTGTGGGTCTGAAAAGCAGTGGCCCAGGGAGTGTCAACAACCCACAGGGAATGCGGCTGCTTAGGATTTAGAACTTCTTTGCTTTAGTAGAGGATCTGCTTACTTCTGTTCTGTTTGGGGTAGCCTACCAGAAGGCAGCATTGTGTATTCTTGGCAAATGAAAGTTGTTACTCTGTACTAGTGATTACGCTGTGAATAAAGGTTTTTATAATAGTTTTTTAGTGTTCCAGGCAAGAAGCTTTATTTCAAAAAATACAGTTATAGAATTCTAAGTGAATAACACCTACCTATCCATGTTTATACCTTAACTCTGTGGGTTGATGGGGGAGAAGGATGGTCGTGGATGGAAATAACTGAATATTTGATAAGTTTACTATGTTTTGAGTAATGTCGTTCATTACCATTCATTGGTAGTATATAGATGTAATAAGTATTTTTTAATTAAGGAGCCAATGAAAATTTCTCACTGTTCTTTTTAATCTGCTAAAGTGTAAATAGAATGGTGTCCTTACTGCTCAAGAAGTTGGGGAGGCCTTAATTTTTAGAAAGTTTTTTATTTTCCTTTTGAAGGCTTGAATGTATTATATCTCTTGTTGACTAGACTGAAGTTTTTATCTCCTTCCCCCTCACCCCCAGAAAAGAATGGTTTGTCATTCATTGAGACTTCTGCTCTAGACTCTACAAATGTAGAAGCTGCTTTTCAGACAATTCTGACAGGTAAGACTTGAATTTTTAGATTATACTAGTGGGGATTAGAAGTTTTAGGAATGTAATTTAGACAAATTAGGAAACTAAACTATATATCACAGTGAGAATCACTGTCATTTGAGAGCTGCTATAGCAAGAGCTGTTTAAAGTACAAAATTAGTTAACAACCCTTGCGTGCTGAACTTTAATCATTCTCCCTTATCTGCTTTATATTGGGAAAAGTACTTTGAAAATATTTTGTTCACTTCTATTATTACTTCAGTCCAGGTATTCCATACTTTGTGGTCACAAGCACAAAATAATGCTTAAAGGCACTTTCATAAGATAAATATTGAAATCCTGGCTATGGAAAGACATAAATGCCCTTTGAAATTCAGTAAAGAAAAGACTTGCTTTGTTCTGATATATTATAGAAGCAGCTAGGGAAAAACGTATTTTTAAAAATTTAAATGAAAAAACAAAAAGTAAAATTCTCCTGTGATATATTGTAGAAGAAGCATGGTGTCAGCTATGAAGAAAATCAGCAAGTGATTGCATATGGAAAAGTTTAAATAAGTAGTGGGAAAAGAACAAAGTTCATGCTGTTTTAAAATGTAGATGTGCAGATCAGGTCAGCTTCGAATTACAAGAAGACATTGTATTTGTGTTGACTCACATTGACTCTGACTTTATTAGAATGACCAACTTATCAGCAAGTTTAATCATAATCCTCTAGTAAATAGTTTGATGGGTTGTTTTAAAGTACTGTAAAATTATACATTATTTTTAAGAACTCTCAATATAGAGTATAGGATTACTATATAGCATAGTCTAATGTGTTCTAACAAGTCTGTATGGAGAAATGGTTAAATGAGTTTCCAATTTTAATGTAACAAGATTTTAACATTCTTTGTATACATCACTTGTATTAGAGGTGAACAGATTCTAACTTCAATTTTTAATTTTTATTTTTAAAACATTTTTACATTATTTATTTTTTTATAGAGAGAGTGAGCCCAAGGTGGGGGAGCAGAGGGAGAGGGAGAGAGAGAATCTTAAGCAGGCTCCACAACAGTCAGACTGTTAACTGAGCACAAAGATGCCCCAGTTTTTTTATTTTTAATTTTTCCAAGTTTTTATTTAAATTCCAGTTAGTTAACATACAGTGTAATATTAGTTTCAGGTGTAGAATTTAGTGATTCACAGATTTTAACTTTTAAATGTCTTATTTTATACTGGAAATAGGTAGGGAATAAAGCCTAGAATTTGACAACATGGACTTGGAAGCCTGACTTAGATGTTAGTTTTAGTCCTGGCTCCTTCACTTTCCATTGGCTCTGTAATCTTATGCAAATTACTTAACCTTTCTAGGCCTTAAATTCTTTATTTGTGAAATTTAAATATGTTCTAGGGAGTTCTGTTTTTTTGTTTTGAGAGAAGAGGGCTTTTATTTATAAATACATTGTGATATGATTTGACTTGACTTTTGTGTTGAGACTTAAAGGTTTTTGTCTCTATAATCCACAGAAAAGAATTGCCTGTTATTTGAGACATCTACTCTAGACTCCAAAAATGAGTACTTGAGTTCATACATGTAAAATCCTTAGCTATCCCTGGTACAGAGTGGACATTTGATGAATTAGTAGCTAAATAGCAGTTAAAGCACACAAAAAAACTTAAACATAAACGAGATATTGGTGATTCTCATACAATAGGTATAATAAACAATAGTTTATTAGAATTCTTTTCTGTTACCAGAAAAATAGTTAACTAACAACTGGTGCTGCGGTTGCATTAGTCTTTGGAACACAGTAGCTTTCCTTTAGAATCTTTTCTGTGTCAAGTTTCACTACAGACTGTTGCAAGCAAGATTTGATTAAATATTGCAGTGTATCTGCAAATCCTACTTTTCTTACGATCACTTGTGCAGATTCTATTGAATCGATACGTAGAGTACTAAATTTAGACCTAGGAGTTGTAGGTTTTTACTAGCACTTTGCTCCCACTCCCTGTGTAACTAGTTAACTGAAACTCCCTGGTCCTCAGAGTCACAGTGCCTTAAATAATGAGTGAGTTAAGTCACCTTGAGGGTCTGTGAGTCTCTCAAGGCCTCTGAAAATGTCATTTGAAAAAGTTTTTTAGTCAGTCCTTGTTGAGATATTTTTTATGTCCCATCAGATCTCCTCTGCATTGTAGCCCATTCTGATCACATTTTCTAGACTATTCTGATATTAAGTGAAGATGAGACCATCTGCAGTTAACTCTTTTAAGTATCATTTTGTAACATTGAACTTAATGATCTGCTCAAACATGAACTAATCAATAAGTATGATATATACTTCAAATTGAATTGTTTTGTCCTTAAAGAACATTTAGGGGTGCCAGGGTGGCTCAGTCAGTTGAGCATCTGCCTTTGGCTCAGGTCATGATCCCAGGGTTCTGAGATCAAGGCCCACATCAGGCTCCCTGCTCAGTGGGGAGCCTGCTTCTTCCTCTCCCTCTGCCATTTCCCCTGCTTGTGCTCTTTGGCTCTCTCTCTCGGTCAAATAAATAAAATCTTAAAAGATGAAGGTTTGGCTATTTTTCTTAAAATTCACTCTAGATTTAACATTTGTTACTGCTTAATTTTGCTTAAAAGCAAACAAGACTAGCTTCACTTATTAGCATTTTTCCTTTCTATATTCACTATTTTCTCAGCTTCCTCCATAAATTTCAATGTTGTTCTGTGGGATCAGAAATCATTGCATATGGCAGTAGACCTCTCTGTTCTTTTGAGTGTGCTAGGATGTTTGTTCTAAACTTCTCTTTATACCAGTAGGAGTATTAGTACTTGGAGGAGTGAGGCACCTGGGTGGCACAGTTGGTTTGAGTGTCCAACTCTTGGTTTCTGCTTGAGTCGTGATCTTGGGGTGGTGGGATCTAACACCTCATCAGGCTCTGTGACCAGTGCAGAGTCTGCTTGGATTTCTCTCCCCCTCTCCCTCTGCCCCACCCCTGCTAAAATAAATAATCTTTTTTTTTTTTTTTAAAGGAAAAAGAAATAGGACAAAAAACCCAGGAAAGACAACAGTAATTTCATTAGGTTTTAATTCTACCTTGAATGTTAACAGCATTAAGGGAGTATTTACATTGTATTTTGATGTTGCTGGAAGAAAAAAGTGTTTTCATTTTTAAGGTGGAAAATTATGTGTTAGAAAATTTATCTACATTATTACTCCAAAGTTAATTGTGTTGCTTGTTTTATTAGAATAGACCTGTGGCATTTTTGACATCCGTGAATTTGATACTAACTCCATGACAATTTTGCTGATGATAGTTTTTAGAGGTAGTTTGCTAGTACTTGAGTGAGTCTGTGAGATTGCCCAGCCTTTGCATTGCTGTGCAGTTTTGTTTTCTTTCATGCTCAAGTTTGTTAAGGGATGTTTTTAATCTATACTTTCCATACTCCTAATTATTTTTTCTTTTAACTTTGGTTTTTGACCATTTCAGAGTTAAAGTTACAATAATAGTTCAAAGAATTTGTACATACCATTCACCATAATCCCCAAATGTTGGTATTTTACTGTATGTGCTTTATTTTTTTTCTTCCTGTTGCTATATACTAATTTTTCTTTGCACCATTTCAGAGTGGCAGACATGTTGCCTCTTGGAACTAAGTACTTTTCAATGCATATTTCTTAAAAACAAGGATGTTCTCTTTCATTACCATAGTGCAGTTAGCAAAAATCAAGAGTTAGATTGTAGTCCAAATCAATGTTTAGCTACAGACCTTGTGCAGATTTTGCCAGTTGTTTGAATTATGTCCTTATTAGCAAAAGAAATTCTGAGATCACATCACACATTGCATTCAGCTCTCCCCATCTCCTTCATCTCCTTTAATCTGGAACAGATCCTTAGTCTTTTGTTTATTGACATCTTTTGAAGGGTACAGGTCATTTATTTTGTAGTGTCCCTCAGTTTGGGTTTGTCTCATGTTTCCTCATAATTAAATTCAGATTATTGCAGTTTCAGCAAGAATACCACAAAAGTGATCTCTGTATCCCATCAGGAGGTTGTGATACTGGTTTGTTGTATTCATTACTGATGATGCGAACTCTGATCACTTGGTTAGAGTGGTACGTGCAAGGTTTCTCCACATAATAAGCCCAAGTCATCTTTTTAGTTACGAAAACTGAATTGCTAATTTTATGGTTAAAGTAGTGAGAATCATTTAATTAGGTGTAGGATTTTTTTTTTTCTTTTTAATGTAAGCTCCATGCCTAGCGTAGAGCCCATTGTAGGGCTTAGAGATCAAGACCTGAGATCAAGACCTGAGCTGATGAAATCAGGAGTCTAATAACCCTTAACCAACTGAGCCACCCAGGTGCCGCCCTTAGGTGTAGTAATTTATTTTTGTTCTTGGCATGTGGCAGTGTTTTCAAGTATGTGTCAGTGTATCAGATCAGAACATTTTTTTTTATGTTTAAGAAACTTAATGGTGAGCAGTGGGTTTGAAGAAGACCTAACAAATTCTGACCTAGGCTGTAGTGGAATAACTCAGGCTTTTGCTATTTTCATAATTTTTGAGAGCCCAAAGAATTTTAGCTCTTTGTTCCCCAGTTTGGAACAATTGCATTTAACTTCCTTAGAGTGTACTTTGCAATTTGCTTCATACTTTCATTAGAGTAGAAATAGGCATATGTCTTTTTTAATTTTAACTTTACCAGGTTATATTTAAAACTATCTTCTATTAATATTTTAACTTTCTATTTAGATTTATAAGAGATTCTAACATAGGAACGATACAGCAGAATTCCTTTTCTTTTTAACCTTGCCTAGCCTTTGGACATCTTGAAAAGGGGCTGTACAGGAATTGTATCACATACATTTGGTTCTAAAGGAGAACATGCCCTTGAAAGAAGAAAACACTTGCATCTGGTTTAGCACGTCACTAGTCTTGTTTCCCTTCCCCCACTTAAATAACCTCTAATCAGATACCAACTAGAAGGTACCTGCTTCCTATTACCTTATCAAAGTTTTTTTTTTTAGTGACACGCCGAGCCACCGGAGATGTTAAATAAACTACTTCAGTAGCCTCTTAGTGCTCATTCTACTTGAAAGAAAATTTTTCTTTTACTTTTTTGATCAACGCTTTCCTATTTTCTTTATTGCTTTGGCATTTTCATTAGCGGATATCTTTTTGGTGACTGGAACTAATGTAGTAGTAATCCATTTCTACAAAACAGTGTGCAGTCCTTGCAGACCAGTTGTATAATAACTGCTCAGATTTCTTGCTTTGTAATGAGATCTCTTTAATATTTAACTTTCTTTTCTCTGAGAACTCTGCCTTTTCTTCTCTTACAGTATTCGCTTTTCATGTAAGAGCCTGCAAAATACTTTTTGTTTTGGTTTCTCTAACTTGAATCTTCCAACTTGTAAAGAAGTTAAAATTTGTAGAGGGTCACATATAATCATTTGCACTTAAAGAAGACCCATCCAGTTTGGGATTAGAGAGAACATTAAAGAATGAATAGTAGAGTTTTACATTATGTTGATAACTGTCTTTATTCCTTAGCCACTAGCCTGATGAATGAGTGTCTTTTTCTTTACCCTTGACACACTTCCCCAATTCCATCTCTTTGCAATGAAAAGAATCTAAATGAAGACTACATATCCTTTTTTTAATTCAGTCAGTAGGCTTTTTTGGTTTTCCCTTGATACTTCTTCAGCTTTGAGAAGTACAGTCAGCCTCCTCAAACACAGATTTTAGCCACCCCCCACCCCGAAAAAAGTAGGAAAATGTACATTATAGCTGTCAGTGTTCTTGCTAGTTCACACATTCAATTGACTATAGGTTGCTGTTCTTCAACTTAGGGAAATTAGTTCTTAATTTGGAGAAAATGTATTCATTTAACACATTTCTTTTTCTTTAACTTTTTGAATGTAAAGTTTCCAACATACCAAAAGTAGGACAGTATCCTGACCTCCAGTGTAGCCACCAACAACCATCAGTTCATGACCAGTGTTTTGTTCCACCTATTCCCTTCCTTATTTTTTTGAAACAAATCCCAGATATTACATCATTTCATTGGTAAACATTTCATGATGTATAGCTAAAAGATTAGGGCATAAACCCAAAACAACAAAACTACTAAAAATTGGCAGTAATTTCTTATCTATTATCCAAACAGTACTAAAATTTTGTCTCAATTTTTATTTTTTTACAGTTCAAATTAGAATCCAATCCAAATGATGTTACTACATTGCAGTTGGTTGACATGTTCTTTGAGCATTTTGAAAATAGAATTCTGCTTTCTCTTTTTACCCTATAACTTTATATTTTTAAAATTTTCAGGTATTATAGAAATATGTTACATCCTTCATATAGAATCATCACTTTACCACATTTGACCTATGTCTACATGTGTGCATATTCTTTTTTTCCCTTTTGCTCAGTCTTCAGAATATAAATTGTAGACATTGTGGCACTTTACAAGTAAATACTGAAGCATTTTAGCTCCTGAGTACAAGGCATTCTGTATAATCACAGTACCATATATCCATGTTTAAGAAATGATGTTTATATGGTATTAGCTAATGTGCAGTTCATATTCCTATTTCTCCAAGTGTACTAATAATTCTTTATAGATTTGGTTTTTACATTTTAAATGTTCAGCCAAGGGTCACACATTGATAGAATTGTTTTATATCTGGGGTATTATTAAATAGAGTAGCTGTTGGGCACAAGTTATTGAATGCTTGAAATATGGCTAGTGGACTGAGGAATTGGATTTTAAATTTAATTTAAATATGTGAGTACTGTATTGGACACTACAGCTGTAGAACATTTACGTCCCATCTTTTAAATGTATTTTTATAACAATAAGTTTTTTGAAGACTCTTGGCTAGTTTTTTTGTAGAATGTCCCTCAATCTGGATTTATCTAGTGGTTTTATTAGGATAAATTCATTTTAAACATTTTTGGCAGGAATACATAGGTATTCATCATAGGACTACAGTGTGTCTTTCATAGTAGATCATAATAGTAGGCACATGATGTCAATTTGTCCCATTTTTAGAATTCTCTTACCCTTTGAGGTTTTTTTTTTGAGGGAGAACTGGGAGAATAAAGATAAATAAGATACATTTTTCTGTTTGTAAGGAGTCTATAATTGAGTCAGAGGGAAACCCTTTTAGGCAGTGAAATAAAAGACCAACTAAAATGAGTTAAGTAAAGATACTTGGTGTAGAGGAATTTAATAACATTTATTGGACCAACTAGTTACTTATCACACCCCTGCTATAAGTCATATGCTGGAGAAAAAGAACTGAATAAGGTAGACACAGTGCTTGTCTTTACAGAGTTTAATGTTTAGTGGAAGAGGTAGACAACAGTTTTTGTTTTTTGGTTTTTTACAGTTAGTTTTGATGAGTGTCAGAAAATCTTAAGTTCCTGGTTAATAACTATTTAATTACAATTTAGCTTTAATTCAGGAGGCATTGATAAACATTATCTTTCCCTCCTTTTTTAAGAGTACTTTGGGATTTTGGAATATTTATGAAGTTGTGCTCTTCCCTACACAGCCAGGAAAAATACTAATGTATCTCATAGTGCAGATTTATTTTTATTTTTCTGTGGTACAGTATCAATGTATGTAGGGTTTTTTGACAAGGGTAGACTGAAAATACTCTCATGGTTTAATTTTTATTTATTTTTTCTCATGGTTTAATTTAGATCTAATCCCATAAACTATGTACTCTCTTTAAACCAATTTATTTAATTGGTGAACCTTTATCTCTGAAATGGAAAACTTTTTTTCTCTTCTTACCATTCTTCTATTCAGTGGCTATTTGAAAATAAAACTTTACATTTATACATTCTTTTTTTTTTTTTTTTTAAAGATTTTGTTTATTTGACAGAGAGAGACACGAGAGAGGGAACACAAGCAGGGAGAGTGGGAGGGGGAGAAGCAGGCTTCCCACGGTGCGGGGAGCCCCCAGCCTGCTTCTCCCCCTCCCAGGACCCTGGGATCATGACCTGAGCTGAAGGCAGATGCTTTACGACTGAGCCACCCAGGCGCCCCTGCATTTATACATTCTTTGTCCAAGTTTATTTGCAGTCTTTTTCTGCAAATCTATTTTCTACTTCTGTGTACTACTATATCAGCTACTAAAGTGTCTATTCACAGTGAGTATTGCTGGTTTTTTTCCCCCCAGAGATATACCGCATTGTTTCCCAGAAGCAAATGTCAGACAGACGTGAAAATGACATGTCTCCAAGCAACAATGTGGTTCCTATTCATGTTCCACCAACCACTGAAAACAAGCCAAAGGTGCAGTGCTGTCAGAACATTTAAGGCGTTTCTCTTCTCCCCTAGAAGGCTGTGTATAGTCCATTTCCCAGGTCTGAGATTTAAATATATTTGTAATTCTTGTGGTCACTTTGTGTTTTATTACTTCCTCATACTTATGAATTTTTCCATGTCTTAAGTCTTTTGATTTTAGCTTTATAAAATCATCCACTTGCCCCGAATGACTGCAGCTTTTTTTCATGCTATGGCTTCACTAGCCTTAGTTTAATAAACTGAATGTTTGGATTCCTCATTTACTGTTTACTTTTCATCATGGAAGCCTGTCACTGTAGGACATACTAGAACTTGATCACTTGAAGCTCAGACCTATTGGTCTTGATCAAATCAAACTAAGAAGACTTTAGAAGAAATAAGCTATCATTTTGCCACAGAGCAGCTTATAATGAGCAGCTAATAATTCATACACTTTTCTCTCAATGCAGTGTATATTTCCACAAATCTAAGAATTGCCCTATAAACATAGCAGGATTTTGAGAGCTTGAAAATTTTCCATTATTCTGGAAGTCAATTTCTAAAAATGCCTTAATAAGGTTAAGTAGTTTAGTAAATTTTGTCTTTTAATTTTTGTAAGCGTCAAAGTTGATTAGAGAGGGGGACACTTTTTTTCTGGATAAGAATTATCTTAATAAACAAAAGACTGTTTATGGTTTCAGTAGCAGTGTGGTTATGGAGCCATATGTTCAACAATGCTGCCTGGCAGGCTGGGAACTTGAGAGACTGGTGGAATTCCATCTGAGATGCCTCTGTTGCAATGATCAGGCAGCCCAAATCATTGAACTCCTCTAATTTCCCAGCAGTAGATATGTGGCATTTTATTGCTCAGGCAATAACTGGTTTAATGCTGTTAGTATCAAATTGTGAAGTGTTAATTTTGTCTTAAAACCTTCCAGTAAATGAAATGCAACCTAGTTTTATCACCGTTATCTATCAGCAGGCATGGATAATTATTTTAACTATGCTGATTTTTGAGTTTTGCAGTATATTATGGAATACAGTCCAGTTAAATATCTGGTTTCAGTATGTCTAAGGAATATAGTAAGAGGTTAATTTCTGCTCAAGTGGTACCACTTAAAGGCATGTATTTTAGTATGTAGTACCTTGAGTTTAAATAGAATGCATTTAGGCATTATACAAACCTGAACTACTTTTTCCCCCACTACATTATTGAAATCAGTGGAGCAACTAGTTTCCCATTTAGAAATGTGCACACTAATACTGAGTTTTACTTTATTGTGGATAATATTAAGCACTTACTCTGCAGTGTTCTGAAAGTTGTGTCAACTGAATTGATACTATTCAGGATGGTGGAATATCCCCCCAGTACAAAAATATATGTGTTTGGGCTTGCATAGATTACTATGTTTCTTAGTTAATCTGTCTTTTGCGGTGCTCATGACGTGTGGGGCACATGTCGTGTGGGGCACACGGAAGGCATTGCTGTGGTCAGTCTTTCGGTTTTCTTCTGTAGCCATTTATTAGAGTGTTGGTTGGTTATGAAGATACTATTATCTATTTGTAAATTGCTACTTTGTATTTTATGCATGCTCTGTAACTTGATTTATTTTTATTTTTATTTTATTTTTTAGTTATTGATTTGGAATATATTCACATTCTAATAAACAGTTATAGGGGGACTATTCTTTATGTTGTCAGATTACATTTTTCCTTTGAGTGCTTTGGATGCAGCCATGGAATATTTGATTCTGATGAGTAAGAGCATAGGTCCTTGCATTACAGAGTAAACACTAAATTGGAGGCATCATTGTGTGAATTCAGCTTTGATTTTAGACATACGTTTCAATTATGCTTTTCTTGGAAAAAGTATCACCAAAAACATTAAGGAAGTAATCTTTGTACTTTCATATGTAACAGTGTCACCAGACCCGGGAAGAGGCATTTACTCGAAATCGGTAGTAAATCTTTCACAAAATTATTTAAGAAAAGGAAACTCTAGGTGGTGAATTGAAAATGAGTAACTTTGAATTTGTATCAAGTATAGACTTAATGTTGCTGTGGGCATGGTTGGATCTTGGGAGAATTCCAAGAACCCTTTAAGTAGTAGTAGAATATGTCTTTGATTGCATCTTAACAGTGTCTTCATTCTGAATAGTATCTCAGGAGACAAACTGTCTCAAGTAAGAAACATTAAGTTTTAAAATATGACAATGTAGGGCTCAAGGTAGTTTAGAAGTGTTTTGCCGCTTGACCCTGCTTTTCAGTCATTTTAACTGAATTTTTTTTTAACTTATTCTGAAAAGCCAGTTAGCCTTCTTGACTTGATTTAAACATGCCATTGGTCTCAAGTGCTATCTATGATTTTTCTTTAATAATAGTAGTTACAACTCTGTAGGGGTAAGTTATCATTAGCCATTACATTGTGTATGCTAAATTCTAATTCTAAGAAGGGGTGCTAGCTGGTGACTTAGGCCAGCGGTTTTAAGTTCTGAAAGGTTCTGCAGAAAAGTTAGACCTCTTGAGTTTAGATTGTCCATCAGAGCTTGTCCTATTTATTGTATCAGTGGGAAAATGGACATTTTAATTTTGTCTTCAGTGACTTGTATTTACAAAATACAAATGCTGTCAATGGTTTGACTATTGTCGTAATTTCTTCCATCTACCTTAAAGAGAAAAAAACTGTTTAGGCCGTTTTGGCCAGTACCAGAAGCAGAATAATTGAAAGCCTGGGTTGATATTAAGAACTTATTCCCAGCCTGTTAGGTTTCAATTTATGGAGTTTTGTTTGTTTTTGTTTTTTAAACACAGGAAGAAAATAGAGATTGGTTATTTGATATCTCACAAACATTTTAAACCTGAAGAAAATTCGAAACAAATTATGAAAATTTTTTTTTAAGATTTTATGTATTTATTTGAGAGACAGAATGAGAGATAGAACGAGAAGGAAGAGGGTCAGAGGGTGAAGCAGACTCCCTGCTGAGCAAGGAGCCCGATGCCGGACTCGATCCCGGGACTCCAGGATCATGACCTAAGCTGAAGGCAGTCGCTTAACCCACTGAGCCACCCAGGTGCCCACAAAATATGAATTTTGTATAAGGATTGTGCATGGCATGTATTCCCTGTATGGGGGGAAAAAAACAAAGACCATGAAAGGATCCTCTTCTATCACATGCTTTAATGGGGTAGCATAATAGGCTAGTGCTAAAAAGAGGAGGGCTGATTTTTGTTACCTTGGTTGGGTTGGTGCTGGTACCACACGCTTGCTGGGATTTGACAGGTCACTTTTTCCACTCACCTAAAGGATATGCTAAATAAACTGAAGTTGTCATTGGGATGTTTTAAAGAATGGTTGTATTTCCCCAAACTATAGGAGGCCAAGGGTAACAATAAAGTTATATAAAATGTCATTACAGCTTCTGTAAAGGAGATCATAGGCTGAGATCATTTTAATTGAAGCATCCATTTCATTGAAAATTGAATTGGAGGATAGAGAAAGAATATCTGAAAGGACATTGATACCAGGCATATATTAGAAAGTATGCTAAACTGAGTTAGATTGAAAGTGGCAGGTATAATAGAAGAGTGGTTGGGTGACAAAGACTTGGATTCTAGTCACAGATCTTTTAGTCATTTTCTCTGAGCTTCACCTTCTTCCAGTTAGGGGAATGGGTTAGATTATTCCTGGGGTTCATCCCAGCTCCAATTCAGCAATTCTATGAACGAACTCTTCAGGTACTAGAGCCAAATCATTACACATTTGAACTCAAATTTAATAGATAAGTAAAAATCACTTTGCAAAATGTTTTTGGTCTTATAACTTGATTAAAATGTTACTATTTCCATGTTAACCTCATTCCATAAGATGAAAGATTTTAGAACATTTGCAAAATGACTGTCATTTTCAAAAATATGCATCGAAATATCATGCTTGGCGGGGAGGAGCACTTGAGGGGCTGCTATGTCAACTGTAAATTGAGAACTGCTTGTTTTGGCTTTTATTGTTAAAATCCTGCTGGCTTTTAATATATACTTTTAAAATATATTCATGTCTGGGTGAGAGAACTTTTAACAATATCTTGTGTTTAATTTTTTACTATCATCTCTTACAGGCATCTATAAGAAGGTAGAGCAGTCCATAGAGCTAGCTGTCCGAGAGAACCAGTGATTAAATCCAAGTGAATAGGTTTTTGTGGCAAAATACACATGATATAAATGGCATTATTTGGCTGTTAGTTTAGTAGTCTGATCATTTGAAATCAATTATTTAACATCATTAGCGATAGGTCCCAGCACAGATGTTCTATATATTTGCTCTTTTTTTTTAAATTTTTTTATTGTTATGTTAATCACCATATATTACATCATTAGTTTTTGATGCAGTGTTCCATGATTCATTGTTTGTTCATAACACCCAGTGCACCATGCAAAACGTGCCCTCCTCAATACCCATCACCAGGCTAACCCATCCCCCCACCCCCCTACCCTCTAGAACCCTCAGTTTTTCAGAGTCCATCATCTCTCATGGTTCGTCTCCCCCTCTGACATACTCCCCTTTTCTTCCTCTCCTGTTATCTTCTTCTTTTCCTTTTTTCTTAAAATATGTTGCGTTATTTGTTTCAGAAGTACAGATCTGTGATTCAACAGTCTTGCACAATTCACAGCGCTCACCGTAGCACATACCCTCCCCAATGTCTATCACCCAGCCATCCCATCCCTCCCACCCCCAATCACTCCAGTAACACTCAGTTTGTTTCCTGAGATTAAGAATTCCTCATATCAGTGAGGTCATGTGATACATGTCTTTCTCTGATTGACTTATTTCACTCAGCATAACACCCTCCAGTTCCATCCACGTCGTTGTATATATTTGCTCTTAACTACTATATGTTACCAGTACCAGTGATGGTAGTGAAAATTAGTAGCCAGTAGGATTCCTTTTCTCTCTTTGAGTCAGTGGAACTTAACTTGCCTGTTATTCCCATCCCAGTGAGTAAGTGTATTGCTTTCAGATTCATTTCCCTTGACAAATTCCAGTCTCAGGGTACCATTTTCTCAGATCTCTCTAGGGAAGTGACAGATCCTTGTTGACCGTTGTTTTTTTTTTTTTTTTTAAGATTTTATTTATTTATTTGGTAGAATGAGAGCCAGAGAGCACGAGAGGGAAGAGGGTCAGAGGGAGAAGCAGACTCCCCGCTGAGCAGGGAGCCCGATGTGGGACTCGATCCCGGGACTCCAGGACCATGACCTGAGCCGAAGGCAGTTGCTTAACCAACTGAGCCACCCAGGCACCCAGACGTGCTGACCATTGTATTAGTCTCTATGCCAAAGCATTTCATCATATGGCCCTAAGAATATTAATAGAAGGTTATGCCTGAAATGGGACAGTCTGGAAAGCCCCAGGAAGCAATACTATTTCTGCAGACTATCTTTGATATGAACCCCACAATGCAGGATCTGTTAGGATCATCAGTTACTGGTTTTGGTTTACATTTAAGTGGATTCCTAAATAATAGGATTTTTATTTTTTTATTTTTTTATTTTTTTTAAAGATTTTATTTATTTGAGAGAGAGAGAATGAGAGATAGAGAGCATGAGAGGGAAGAGGGTCAGAGGGAGAAGCAGACTCCCTGCTGAGCAGGGAGCCCGATGTGGGACTCGATCCCGGCACTCCAGGATCATGACCTGAGCCGAAGGCAGTCGCTTAACCAACTGAGCCACCCAGGCGCCCAATAATAGGATTTTTAAGATTTCCAGTCCCTGTGCTTTCTCCTCTCCAAGGCTCTGGAAGGCCATCTGCTGGGTTAGACAATGGCTTGGGAAGTAGAAGCTGGAATTGAGGAAGGAATCTGACAACCCATCGCTACAGACTAGGGCTTCCGCCTTCTGTGGGTTTGGATTGGAGTCCGAGTCTTTCTAGCTCTGCAAGTCAGGGAAGAAAATGTATAATCAGTACCCTACTAATCACTAGGGCCCTGCATTTATCTCTGCCCTTTTGTAATTGCTAAATTGTAAGATCCATAAGTGTGGGAATGTTCATTGTTCATATTTACATTCCTAATACCTATCCCCCCTGCTATTCCATGTCAGAACAATAAAGAAGGAACATCTAAAAGAGTGAGGGGGCTAATCCTAGGATTCATTCTAGTCTAGCTTGGGGAGCTATAGTCTTGAGAACTACCATTCAGACTAAAAAATACTTTAATTAAAAGTTATATAAAATGATTATATAAATGCTATATAATAATTATACAGAAGTACAAATGACAGTGTAATGAATCCCTATGTATCCATCCATCCCTTCTGAGAAAGAGTCTGTCTCCTGTTGTCACATACTGATTAAATGGGCCCCTTCTGCCGGCCTTCTGGTTAGATGAATGGCTCGTAGAATGTATCATTCTTGAATTTTCTGTGTTGAGTGCATAACTTGCAGCCTTTGGTTATCCTTTATGGTATTGGGTAGTAATCTGAGCCTCATGAGTCATAATCTAATACCACTATTCTCAGTAAACACCTTTGTTAGCCTTATAACTCTTGATCATGTTTTGTCTTTCACCGAGATGTCAAGCTCCAGCCCTTGAGAATTGTCTTAGTAAGATAATTTCAGAATGAGTCTTAGTCTCTAACAAAAATGTATTATTCTTGGTTAAACATTGGGAATAACTTGAGTGTCATGTAAGCTTTGTGAACTGACAAGTTGAAAGGCTTAGGTTGACTTAGATAGGATTATGTACAAACTTTGAAAGTATGAAGGAAAAATTTTAAACTTACACTTTTGAAAGCATCCAGTAAGCTATTTTTTTAGCATCCACGTTTTACTATAAAATTAATCCTGCTGCTTCTTTACCAGTGAGGTCATAAGGTTATGTTTTAAAAGGTCCTAAAACATGCACCCACAGTAACGTACTGGGTGATAACTTCTACTAGTGGAGAGCTATTCATTGCACTTATGCAAATTAGGTGGCCCATCACTTGCTTTTATTCCATTCCATAGAAGTACCTTTGTGCCTCTGGAGCTGAGCACAGGCTGTAATAGTTGCCTTTGAGTTTAAATCTTTGTGAAAGCAGAGAAATTCTCTATTTGAGCATTTGATGTGTATGAGATTTTTCAATAATTTTTAGACATGAATAAGAATGTGTTGATCCCATTCATTAAAGGAAGAGACTCTTGTTATAAATATGATAGAACTTGTTCACTTTATTTTCAAGTGTCTATTGGGATAATTTTCACTTCTCTGGCTGCCTAAAGTGACCACACAAAATGTAGTTTAGTTCTACCTTTTAAACCTAAGTTGTAGATTATAGACACATTTTCAATGTGCAACACAACAGTAGGCATTCTTGTTAAATTAGTTTGAGAAATTCCTTTTATTTTGTACAAGGTATGGTCCCTTTGCACAGTGAACAAATATATTACAAATCTGGGTTATTTAAAAAAGTATTGCCATTTCATAGTCTCACTTATGCTATTGTACAATAATAGTGTTTCCTTTATTCATTTGAATTGAATGCAGATTACTTTGAGTGAAAACTGGTTTCTTTAAAATAAACAGATCTTTCCAAGTTGCCAACAAAATGCACAGACACATATTTAGGTTGACCATGAACCTATGTGTGACAGTGCTAGACAGAAGTTCCTAACAGTTGCTCTGTAAGAATGAAATGTCTTTTACCAGTAACTCTTAGATCTGTGAAGGCAGCTGTTGTCACCAGAGATGAATCACACCCTCTGCCTTCCCCTTCTCTGTATTGCCTAATTTGAATTGTATTACATTTCTTTAACAGTCATAGAATGCTAGAGCCAGAGGGTTGTTAGAGCTTCTTCCCTCTCTCTCCTTCTCTCCTTTTTAATACGTGAGGAAGAAAGCCCAGAGAGGGCAAGTAACACTCAAATCTCTTGACCCCATGCTTTAGCAGTTCCACCATGCTCCCTCTTGCTGAATTTTGCCCATAAGATAGTTGGCAAACAAGAGGCGACACTTGAAACTGGCATGATGCTGCTTGTTTGCAGTGTGCCAGGCAGCAATGACTGTACACGAAGGGTAGGGGAAGAAGATAAAGCCTGGGATTGAGATGAAGTTTCTCCTGGCTGATCTGACTTCGCCATGCTTCTTGATCCTTGCTTTACAAAGGTAATTGAGCACTTGCTGCCCTGAAATACTGAGGTAAGTCTCTTATCTATTTCTTTCTACATATGTATGAGCAATATTTACTTGGGTCTACAAAGGAATTTTCTATTATTTATATTTCATAAGGCTTTTGTGGAAAGGAAATTTGCTATTGCTGATCACTTGCTCCCATGCACACATGCAGCATTCATGTAAGTATTCTATGCTTTCCCCTAACAGTAAAATTTGCTTAAGCCGTGAGTGAAGTGAGGGAGGGGGATTTACTTGTTTATTTTCTTGCTTTTGCTGGTCATTGCCCCAACTAATGGGTTCCATGGCAGACTTCCAGGTTGTATCAAGGGCTTCAGGACTCCCACACTTCCTGTCGCTGCTATTCCATCTTTGCGGTCATTTAGTTCCTCTTCTGTTTACCTTTTTGGAAGTATTTTTTACTGGCTGGCTGTTACCAGAGAATGGAGTGGTGTAGGGGTGGCCATTAGTTTCCTCGGGTTGTCCTTCTGGTCTTTAATTCTTGTGAGGAGGTCCTCTTTTTTAGGGCTTGGGAGTTGGCTCCAGTTTGACTCAAACTGAGCCCCAGTTTACCTGGTTAGTAGTGGAAGGTACAGACACGTCTAAATACTGGGATCTGGAGCATTAGCTCATTGTAATATGTTTTTGGCCATTTCAGTAGGTGGTGGTTTTAAGGTAGAAGTACTTCATATCCTTATTTGCTGTTTACTGTAAAGTTTTACATCATGTTACAGCAACTGATTACAGTCCATTCTTTTCATTTAGTTCCATCAAAAAGCATCATGTAATTTAAGCAGCTTATTAAACTTTTAAACTTGCTATATCCACTTTTATCTAATTTCTTCTACACTTTTGGGTTGTATTCTACATCAAGCTCAAGATTTATGAAGAAATGCATGAAAGCAAGTACTCTTCTGAGTTAAGGGATGCCAATCAAATAAATTCGGGAGGCCTTTTAGGGATACTTCCTTCTTACCAGTCTGTGACTGCTTGCTTAAAGGCATCATCTCAGAATTCTGTTTCACATGGAATGACTCGTGTTGGATGGATTGAGGAGCTATGACCAGGCTAGGAATGACTTGGCAGTGTTCTCAAACTTTGAATCAGCAAGATTTGGTAAAGCTGGCCTAGAAATCATTATAGACTGAAAGAGGCTACTGCGCTTTGGAAACTTCTCCTCCTTACTACCACGAAGGGCAGAAGAGGGAAAGTTAATTTGTATTTATTAAAGTCTTATTTTTTAAAAATTGAAGTTGTCAGTATTAGATTGTATACTATAATCTTGGCTGTTGTGATTTGACAGGTCAGACATAGATGTACAGGTACTTTAGGATTGATATTAGCACAGTTTGTGTGCTATTTATCTTAGGTAATAAAACAGATGTTGAGGGTAACAGCAACCAAAAGCACATACATTTCGGGATCTTGAATCCTTTCCCCTCCCCAGTTCCCTTTTCCCCCAGGAAGGTTTGTGAAACCTATGCTGTATGCTTTCTAAGCATCACGTTTCAGAGAATTACGTATCTCAATATATGTATTTAGCTGATGTTGATGAGTAGCTGGATCTTAAGTGTTTTTAAAAGATCATGTAATCCTGGGCATTTGGGGTTGGGTGTGGGTGAGTGATAGGATTTGCCTTTGTGAACAGACTGTTTGAATAATTACCCCAGTCCCACTTGGAAGTTCTTCTTTAGTTCCAGGTGAAAGTAATGACTAACACGCAGCTGGAGTCAGTCTGTATCATTATTTCGAGTCAAGGGATTGTCTTCTTTCAGAGTCAGAATATTCAGCAGAACACATTGCAAGAGAGAGGCTTCTCTCTCTTAAGACTGCTTGTCCTGGGAGGGCCCATTGGCAGGGCTTTGTCTTACTGGGAGGAGGTCATAATGACCAGGAATATGGCTGTTCCTAGGTAGGTCGTATGGATTCTGGATATAGCTGGAGTTATGACCGCGGCCTTCTTGGACCACACTGATTGTGGGCTCTAAGGAATATAGTGAAAAATGAGTTCAGAGAACAGATTAGCTTTGGTTGCCTTGTTGAGGGGAATAGAGTTCTATTTAACTTGCTAGGGAGAGAAGCCAGGGATTTATAAATCTGTGATAAATATATGAGGGTTAGGATTGAGGCTTGCTCACGAAATGGAGAATCTAAGTGAGTGTACTATTAGAATCCCAAGCTCTGGTCAAAACCAAGAGGTCTGGATCTTATCAGTAAGTCCAGGGACATAGGGGAAACCGGGAGAAGGTCGAAGACGGTGATTTAGAAACTTGCACGTCTGTTCTGATTGAATCACTTGAGGTGTGTATACCCACTGATTCTCCACCCCCAGCATTTCTGCTTCATAGTAGTCCTGGTATTTTTTTTTAAAGCAGAGTTGACATGAGAATTTGATTTCCTGCATGAGAGAGGAGGGTAATCCTGGGAAAGACCGTTCACCTTGGATTCCTTAAAAAGCAACAAAAGAAGGGTGTGTTTTCAAGACAGGGTGAGTGGAGAGGGCTTGTTTTTATTTCAGATGCTGCACTATTGCCCTGATTTCACTAAGTTACTTATTTGAGACACCTACCAACTTCATATATATTTTTATTAGATGTCAACAAGGATGGCATATCTGTGTACGGAGACCCCCTGTGCATAGGCGACTTCATTTCTACATAGCTGCTTTCTGGAAGCTTGCAGGTGAGAATGGGTGGGTCCTTAATTGTGGCGTAAGGGTTTTCACTGCTATTCAAGGAACAAGTGCTAGAACTGCACACGGATTCTTTCATGTAATCTGTAAGGCAAGAGAGATTTCTTAGGACATGCAAGGACACAGACTTAATTTCAGTACCAGAAACAGATTGCATTTTATGTGCCATCAGGATCCTGGATCTGTAAAAGCCTATAATAATCCAAGATTTCCTTCTTAAAATATGTTGAAGGGTGCTTCCCTAGGTAGGCAGAGTTCTTTTCATAAAGAAACTTATGTTTTTGGAAGGATAGGGACATTTTTGTTCTTAGTAGTCAGGTTCAGAACCAGAAGGGGATTGATTCAAGATATTCATAATGTGCTTTCACAATGTGCTTTCACATCTATTATTTAATTTTTATAAAATCCTGCAAAGATGATACTTTGCATTTTATAGGATGAAGGCCCAGAGAGATGAAGTGACTTGGCTAATGTCCTATAAGCTCATAAATGACAGTGCCAAGGCTTGAATGCAGGCCTTGGGACTCCTTGGCCTGTGTTTGTTCTGTGATATCATTCTTCCTCTGAATTCTTTTTGATGAGTAAGAAATTTAGAGTCAAAAGAAGTAGGTGTGTGTTTTGGCACAGGTGTCAGCAACTTGGCAACCTTTAGGCAGCAAATTTTGGCGGCATCCCTGGCTCTTGAGAAGCTTGTGATCAGAGGTGGGGCAGACTGAAGTGTAACTGAGGTGTAAAAAGCACCTGGGTCTCAGGCTGGCCTTTGGAAAGTTCCTGTTTTCTAGTAAGCCTTCCAATGTATCCTCTGGGGTCACTCATCCCAGTACTTATGAATGCTAACTGAAACCAATTTTAGCAGTATCTTTTTTCTGATACTAGGAGAACTCATGCTTCTTTTCCTGCTGCCTCCCAGGTACATCTTCCCCAAGACATCAGGGTATGTTGGGGTACAAAAGAATGCAAACTAGTCTCCCAAGTACGAGGCAAAGTAACTGTAGCTCACTGGAGGAAGAAAGTGTTTTCTTTGGGACTGGGAGTCACAGAAGGGAAGGGGAGCCCCTCCTTCAGCTTCTATGCGATTTTCCCCTTTTGGGAAGATCACTGGTTCTTATAGATCATTCCAAGTGAGGCAAGACTTGCCTGAAAAAGGCACTAGAGTCTCTGTAATCTGGCCAACTCTGGCCCTCATTCTTCTGTGACAGTCTGCCAGCCAGGGGGTCTAGAAATAAGCATAGAATTGTAGGGGCTCTACAGTAATGAGTGGTCTTCAGAGGTCTAAATTTCTCTAAGTGGTAGCAGATGGTGAAATTTCTATATTTCTCAGCTCTAAATTTCTCTTAAGTGGTAGCAGATGGTGAAATTCTTGGACAGTCTTCCACTAGAACCATCACATGCTCTCTGCCTTCAGCTTGTGAGATTAATGAAAATGTAAAAAATAATAATAATAATAAAGGGATCATTGTAACTCAAGGGGTGAGTAGGTCCTGGGAGAGCAGAACACTCCATGTGGCTGAAAGTTGAGTTGTGTGTGACCACTAGCAGTGTTTTCTTCCGTAACAGGTGACTGGCTGGGAGGGGATTTACTTAGAATTCTGAGTATAGGGTTACTGATGTTTGTTTCAGCAGGTAACATTTCTTCAATCTTGTACAAAAGTACATTTACCCATTAGTTCGTTCCTAATACCTGCGATGTAGCTAGAGCAATAATTAATTCTCTCCTTCCCTTTTAACTGCTTATGAGGAAACCGTGGCTTGGCATGAGGAAGTGACCTCCCCAGGTCACTCTGCTGTCAGTAGCAGAGTGTGCTCCACAACCAGGCTCAGAGCCTTTTCCATCTCATCCTGGCCCACAGGTGTAGAGAGAGAGATGTTGGCCTTGGTCCCATCTGAGATTGTGGCCTCTTTCTAGCATAGAACCCTAGAGAGGGGTAGGAGAAAACATTCTTGCTGGGCAGTGAGCAGGCCCAGCTGCTGGTGAGGCTCTCATGAGGAAAGGGGGATGTGGGTCCTGGGCCACAGTCTGCCCAGAGCCACACGAAGTAGTTTCTAGTGAGTACTTTGTTTCTTAGTACAAGGGGCTGGGGTATGTCCAGGAACCCCAGCATGGTCCATCAGTCCCACCTTGGGTTCTCTGAACTTGGCAGCCAAAGTGTAAGGCAGCATGACTCGGAGCTGCTGGTTTGGAAGCTGAGGACTAGAACTGCTTACAGAAGGGCTATCATCTGAGTGAAAAGTCCTCTAAAACCCTCCTCTCCTCCCCACCCAGGCACATCCTTTTACTTTGATTGGCGTCTACCTTAGCTGCATGTTTTCTTAAAACTTGAGGAATGGTGATAGAAAATGTAGCCCTTACGCTAGTATCTTCACACCGGTTAGGTCATTTGAAACTTGTTAATTTGTGGAGAGGGCTGTGCAGGAGGGACTATGATTACTGCTTTAGAAAGGAGGATACTGAAGCTCATAAAGTTCACCTAATGTTAGTAAATAGGGCTCAACCCATAATCTCCGGTATCCAGTCATGATGTTTTCCACTTGCATCTTACTACCCGTCCTCCTGTTCTAGATCTCTAAATGCAAACTACAGCTGCAACAGCTTCACCTTACCTTCAGCAAGGAATACCTTTTACCAATGGGGCCAAGCCCTGCTGACAGAGAAAGGCCAAGCTCTAAGCTTTTTGTAGATATCCCATGATTGATTCAGTAACGGCAGTGGCAGAGTCTTGAAGCTGTGGCTCAAAGCCTAACAGAGCCTCAGTCAGCCAGTAGTAGTATCCCTCTTATTTCCACCAGAAAAGTCAAGGCTGCCTTTAAGTTTAGGGGTATACAGCAGTCTCCCCGCCCCCACCAATCCACAGGGATACTTTCCAAGACCGCCAGTGGATGCCTGAAACCACAGATAATACTGAACCCTCGATATATTGTTTTTTCTTAACGCGTATATGCGTACATACCTATGCTAAAGTTTAATTTATAACTCAGTCACGCTAAGAGATTAACCACAGTAACTAATAGAACAATTATAACAGTATAATGTAATAGATGTTATGTAAATGAGGTCTCAAAATATTTTATTGTACTATACTCACCCTTCTTGTGATGATGTGAGATGGTGAAATGAGGTGAATTACCTAGGTAGGCATTGTGACAGGCCACTATTGACCTTGATCCTGTGACGGGGGAGGGGGGAGGGGGGAGTGGTAACCGAAACTGCGGATAAGAGGACTACTGCCAATAGTTTGCTGTGCAGCAGGGGATGCATCTCTGTGAATAAAAGAGAAGTTGGGGTTGGGGGAGGGGATTCATCTCAGGGGAAGATGTACCTTCCTTATTTAAAGGGGCCCGAGGGAAAGAAAGGATGGAGAAGTGTTATGTGTAGGTTGAGGTGGTCGGAAGGGGGTGTTGGATTATAGATAATCTGGATTCTATTTCTGGGAACTGACAGGAGGAAAGGGCAAGGCCCGCTGGAAAATGTACACTTCCAGAAAGCTATTCTTCTCTCCTCCTGCCGAGTCATCTACCTGCCTGCCCTCAGGGAGGGTGGGGTAAGGGGAAGAGCAACCAGTCTCTCTAAGACACTTCCTCATCCTTTTACAGCCCCACCCTACCCCAGCCAGTCCATGCACTTCAGGGCATTTTGCAAAGAAAGGGGAAGCGTCAACCAAGGCTACCTACCTAAGCTTTGGAGAGTCACTCCTCCAAGGCCTGTAATTAGCATCAGGATTGAAGGCTTAGCCTTAAAATGCCTTGGTGTTTGTTCTCACCTAGTTCCTACCTCTTCCAAATCACACAGTCTTATACCCTCAAATGCCGAAGGGGCCTTGGAAATGAGCCTAAACACCTTCATTTTATAAATGAAGCAGCAAATCCAGAGAGGGGGAAATGACTATCCAAGGCCACCCTGTGAGTGGGATTGGAACTTACTTAGGCTTTTAGGTTCACACGAACATCTAGGTAAAGTCAGTATTTCGCCCTTGGGGAAAACCCAGGCACTGAACATGTTTCTTCTCAGCCTGTTACTATTGTTAGGAAGCCACACTGCCTTTTCTCTTCCTGGGCCCCAAGTTAGCCCTCTTTTCCTTGAGAGACAAGGATATGGGGAGAAGAAAGGGGAGATTTCACGGTCAGAAGGAGAACCACACTGGCTAAAAAAAGTTTTCAGGATGTCACTGGACTCCTCACTACCTTGGAACCCAAAGTTACTGCAAGGAGGCACGTGGAGGCTGGATTAGCAAGGAGCATACAGGTGGCTTCCCTTTGGCAGCAACAGTGGGATTCAGGATTTCAGGATCATAAAGGTGGTGGAGAGTGCCAGGGAGGATTTCTTCTGTAGCACTTTGAAAGGCCTGACAGACAAGGAATTAAACATAGTTTGTTACAGTATCATTGTGTTGAGGGGGAGAAGGGGAAGGGGAGATGGATAGGTGTTCAGAGGTAAAATGCGATTAGCATAGCAAGCAATGTGTGGTGTCGTGTAACTTCAGGATGACAGTGAGCGGAGGTCTAAAGTAAGTACCAAGGGCAAGAAGGAGCACTGGCTGAATTAGAGAGACCTTAGAGTGAGTGCTAGTACAACCTCATGGTTCTAACGGAGGTAGAGAAACCAAGCGCAGAAAATAACAGTGTGACCTAGTCAGTGCCACACAGTAAGAACTAGGACTAGAATCCAAAACTTCCAGGCCAGCGTCTTGAGACCACTGAGTTCAGAGAACACTCAAGACTCCTCACTCTTAATGGTTCTCATTTGGTTTGGCCCAGCAGTTTTAGGAAATAATTTCATTCCTGGTACAGACTAGTTTATTAAATGTTTATTTGGGAGTTCAGTTAGTGGGGTTTTTTTCCATGTCTTTGATAAATATTTCTGTAAAGTTCCAAACCGTGACATTTCATTTTCCTGTTCTTGAATTCTCTTGTTCTGATGTGTTGGTTCCCAGCACCCGTTGGCATATTTACCTGGGCAGCCTTCTCTTCTCTAAAGGATGATTATAGCCAGAGTGGTGAGACAAAATCTGGCTGCAAAATCTGGCCTTCCCTGTACTCAGGCTCAGATACATGATCCCACAAAACGGGAGTGAATGACACTGAGGCAGAGATACTGCCCTCCTTAGCTTTGTTATATATACATTTATGGTTTCGAGTCTGAAAGCAGTTACCCTAATCACAATGCACAGCACAACAAAGTGCATAGGAAAGTTGTGTGCTCATTAATTGAGCTGTTTGGGCCTGTCTGAGCTTATTCATTCTTGAGTCATGCATATTTTCGGAGCTAGAAAGTCTCTTATTTAAGAGATCTTTCTGCCCAGTCCCCACTCCTCTTTGAGAAAGAAACAGGTCTCAGGTCACAATGATAAAAACAGCAAAGCTTTCTTTTCTGTTTTTAGCTTCACTACTGTAATGGTGCTTGCCTCCATGTGGATGGTTTGAGTCAGTATGCAGAAAATGGCCAGAATTGATGCTCCCAAGGGAGTAGTGAACTTTGGCTGACCAGAAGCCGAGGGGTGACCTCCTGTTTTCAGATTGTTCTCTTGAGCTGTATACATCCTAACGTGTTCATGGAGACTTGCCCTTCCTGCTCTCTTGCTCAGAAAAACCCACCCCTAGCTCACCCCACCTTTAATAACCACTCCACCAAGGGCTAAGTCTGAAAGAACAGTAATCCAGGAAGTCTGGGTCAGTCTAGACCTAAGAATGCCCTGAAGTACTCATTACAAAGGCAGATTCCAGGACCCCACTCTAGATACACTGCTTCAGAGTCTTGGGAAGATGGGATGTGGACCTCTGTATGTTTAACAGGCTTTCCAGGTGATTCTGGTGCACAGCTAGATCTATGATAGCCATTGGGATCTTTGCTGTCCGTCGTCTCTTTCAGTGTGGCTGAGACTCCTAAATAGACCTCAGAGACAAAAGGACAGCCCTATTACATTAGTACAATCTTTTACAATATGCAAAAACACTTCCCATCTCTGATTTTTACTGAATACTCAGGATAACCTTATTGGACACTAGGTTAGGCATAATTGGAACCTTGCAGATGAGGAAACTAGGCCTTGGAGAGCTCCCAGTCTAAGGGCACGGTTAATACTTGACAGAGTAATAAGTGACATAGTCCCAAAGCCACCTATTTCACACATTCTGTTATTTAAATGTAAGGCCTAAGCCCAGGGCAGAACCTGACCTTCATCTTTGGTTTCACTCACAGACTTCTTAGAAGGATGATCCAACTTGCTGTTCCCATGTGCTTGGGATCAGTCCTTACCTCCCCACTCTCGGGGCAGAGATCTCGAGGGTGGAGTGCCATACAGTATTAACACTAGGTATTAATTTTCATTCCTTGTGCCCCAGAAAGCCAGCAGGTGCAGGGTGGCAGTCCTTGCCAGCACGACGACAGGAGGCCTCTGGGGCAGGTAGATTGACTTTATTTCAGAATATATAATCAATTTAACTCATACTAATTGGTTGGATAATGACATTCTCCATTTCTGAAGACATTTAGTTGGCATCTATAAAAAACCCACAAGCACTTGCTAAGCAGGTGCAACTTAAATCGAAATATAAATTCATTATTATTATGATTGCTCCTCCTGAGCAGAGCTACCCAGCAGCCCCAGGTCCTGTGGTCTTTTTACTTTTGGGGGGAGTGAGGGAAGAGAGGTGCGCAGTGTCTCTCTGGTAGAATTCCTGGTCATTTCACATCTGTACTCTTTATCTTGCTAAGCCCTTTCTAATGGGGCGTCAGGATTGGATACTCTACCTTTGAAGCCTTTGTCCATAATGTATGTGTTCTGACGTCTATCCATTCCACAAGCACCTGCATTAAAAGAGAATAAAGAGAAAAATGGGGTGCGTGACGTTTACTTAGACTGCATGTGTTTTTGCTTTATTTTTTCTTGCCTTTTTTTCCTTCCTTACCCATAAAATTAGTTCTTCAGTGCTAGAGGATTATTCTGGGTTTAATCTACTCTAAATCATTTTGACGATGCAGGAATTCTTTCAGGGCTCAGAAGCATTAGTGGTGAGCAACAGCGCCCCCTGGCATATGCAGCACTCCTCCTCTTTAACCTTAACTCTGAGGGGTGTGTCTTCCATGAGGTGATCACAGGCAGTTCTGATGCCACCTGCAGTCACCATAGGTGAAGTCCCAAGCTCCAAAAGTACAGGATAAGGAACGAATCAGAGCCAGTTCTTAGCTTGGGGAAGAGGTGTATGACATTCCAAATCCCAGTTCTGTTGGATCTTGGAATGGGGTTGAAGACTGTTTCTTACCTCAGGTCTGGTCCTGCCTCCTCTCCTGGATCTGAAGCTCGACTGAGGGGAGCCAGGGAGGGAGGTGGACCGGTGGCTTGATTAGTCATCTTTCCAGAATGTAGTCACTCCCATCCATAGTCTGCTCTCTTAGTTACCCATTTTGGGGAGTGGACCATTTGTACATAATTGAGACTTGTCTTTGAAAAGTATTACTAGTGTTTTTAATCTGAAGGATTTTTCTCCGTTTTGGCTGTCACAGTTTATCCAGCTCCTAAAATGCATGGTCCTTAGCCATAGCCAGAGGCAGGACATAATACTTAAGGGACCAAGCTCAGGTTCTTTGCTGCTGGTGATATCAAAAAAGAAGCTGTCTGGCATTTTTAGGTTGAGACTGTAATGACTCTGGCTCAGAGTCCATTTTTTTCAGCTTTTAACTGAGGACACACTACCAGGCAAGGCATGCAGCAAATAATTACTAAAATACAATGTCACTCCACTTGACTCTCCCCTGTTTGAGACACTGAAGGCCAATGCACTGCTATTTCGATACATCCCCATACCATACCTCCTCCACAGAGTTCCTAAGTTGAATATGTAGAAACCTGTTCTTACCTGCCTGCCTTCCCCACATTACTGAGTGATACGGCAGAACCAGTCCAAGTTTTCCTCTAGTTTGCTATTCTTCTAAAAGGCCTATAGGTAACCTGTACCCTTCAGAAACATGATTAGCAATTTGTATTCCTGGCACCAGTTCAGCTTTTTATACTAGACAGGGCTTCCTTCACCCTCCCTGAGGGAGGGAGGCTAGGCTGTTAACTTTTCCTTTCTTTAGGACAGGAAACCAAAGCCCAAAGAGGGGCAGTGACTTGTCTGACACCACATGAACTAGAAGCTAATCTCCCCAAGTATTCTCTTCCATTGGCCACCAGCCTGCCTTAGTATAAGCCACAAGATAGCATGTGGTGGCCCTGGCTACACTGGAGAGTGTACATCTAGAAAGCAGGGAGAAATCTGGGCTGAGCCCAGAGCATGGTCCCTTGGGGAAAGATACAGCATGGTGGTAGTGGGGGGCAGGGGAGGGGGGTTGGGAAGATTGAGGGTTGTATTTGGTGGAGTTATTGAAAGACCTAGACATGGCCCAGGGGACCCGCAGCCAAGAGCGTAGCCTCCTAGGTACAGACTCAGGGTCTTTGCAGCCCACAGCTCCTCAGTGGGTGGATAAATTCAGAACCTTCATGCTTCTTAGTGCTACTGCACCCAGGGACCTGCAGGGGTTGGCAGAGCTGCATTCCTTGAGCTCTAGAAACCAGCTAGAGCCCAAGGGTTATCCAGTATACTAAGGCCCTGCCCTAGAGAGGCCACTTGTTAGGGAGGCTACATTCTCTGTTGATTGATTATGCTTACTCCTATGGCACCTATTTCTGTAACTCCAGATCCTCCCACATCAGGATTGACTTTGCAAGTCTCCTTTTTTCTTCTTTCCCAAGCCACTAGCTTGAGCCTAATACAGAGCAGAGTGGATGTCGATTGACATCCTACCCCAACCTCTCCAGATCCCTGCTTGACAACCCTACCCTATGACCTGGGAGAGCTTGATCTGAGCCACTGGTGGGTCTGGGGTCTCTCTCTGGGAGACATTGGGCTTGTCATCTACACCCACAGGGCCCAGAGAACCCCAAAGGTGTCCCCATCCTCAAGTCATTTCTCAGTGGTTTAGGGTTGTATTCTGTGGCCTATAGGGAGTACAATTATGCTGTGTCTCCTTCACCTAATACCAGTCACAGTTTGTCCACATCCACTGACCACTATGGGAGCAGAAGGGGTGATGGGGGATGAATCCAGGCAAGCTTCCTTTAGATAGGGGATGGGGCCTGTAGACTAACCATGTTGGGAAGGAGGAGGGCCCAGCGGAGCGTTCTGGGACCATGGCGGTGAGTCAAAGGGCAGGAAGGGGTAGGTCTGGTCGGGTATGAGAGCCTTGGGAGCCCAGCAGGTAGAGGGTAGGGCTGGGGGTCTAACCTGGTGAGTGTGGCTCAGCAGGGCGGCTGAGGTGTCTAAGTTCAATGTAGAAGTCCTCGGGCGGGTACCTGGCCTCCAGGGCACTGATCTGGAAATGGGAGTCTAGTGAGAGGAATGACAGGGAGGAGCCATTATTCCCAGGGCCCTGGTATGGCAGGGTGGGGAGTATGGAGGGGATCAGGGTAGGGCAGGCTGGAAGGAGTCAGGGCCCCGATGTGTAGTATCCAAAGGGGCAAGGGCTAGGAGGATCTGTTAGAGCTGAAGCCATCTACCTTTCTCCCTTACCTCCTCCCCCCCCCCCCCCCCCGCCGCCCCCAATAGGAACTGGTGGCCACTAGGGCAGTGGGACAGAGGAAAGAAGCCCTTGGAGAGGAGTACCTTGGCAGGGCCTGGCTCAGGCAAGGGTCCCTTTCCCAGACGGTGAATAAATCTTTTGCCTGCATCCAGGTCCTAGCTGTCTTCCTTTGTGGTCCCTGGGTCATAGCCACCCTCTCCCCTAATAGAAATGAGGGGTGTCGTGGGCTTCATTTGCTTATGAGAACTGAAACAAGGGCTTGGGTTTCCCGAAGCCCCTTCTCCCTGGGGGAACCCATGCTCACGATTCATCTACTAATCTTCTCCCTTGGAACTAGGACAGGGAGCCTTTCAATGTGGAGAAAGGAGAACAGATGGGACACGATGACAGGGGACCAGACTCAAACCACTACTGACCTAACACGTTCACAAAGCTGTAAGGGGTCCAGTTTGTTGTGCCTCTGTCAAGGGACTTGTTACTGAGCTGTTTGGAGAGGAGGAGAGTGAGTTAATCCCTCTGCTCCCGAGGTGCCCCTGCCCAGCCTTGGGCACCCCCCCCTATGATGATCCTGACCCACCTACATCTTAGATCGTTGAGGGAAAGGAAGAGCTAGGTGTACTGCAGCTTGACTGCGATCGGCGGGAGCGGAATTCTAAGCTGTCTGGCTGAAGTTGTAGGGTTCCCACCCCTTGGGACCAAGTAGGCCAGGGCCGCCCAAGAGCCAAGAAGTGGCCTGAGCCTGGGTGGCTGGCTCTGATGGGAAGTAGGTCAGCTAGGTGGGACTGAGCTATAGGAGAACAGGCTCTGGCCCTTGTCTCAGATGCCACATGAGGCCATCTCCAGCACAAAGGGAGGTGTTAAGGTGGTCTGCCACATCACTGTCACCTCTGCTACCTGACCTGGCCTGTGTGTGAGTCTCCCTTTTGTGAGCAAGGGAAAGCCTTGTCCTTGGCATCGTTTGCTTCTAACCTGTTGCAGCCTTGATAATGTGGCTCTTGTTAATCAAGAGCCTCATACTAGGAAAATCCAGATTCCCTTCCCTCAGCTTTCAGCTCCTCAGATAAGCCTAAAGCTGAAGCTGGGAATGAGAGTCCGAGCTGAGGAGATACACAGGAAGAGGGGCCAAAGCTATAGGGCTTAGGGCCACAGACTGCATAGGGGCCTCAAGGAACGCTGCATACAGCACTCCCATTTCATAGGAAAGCTAAGGCTGAGAACAAGTGGAAGAAAGTGGCCTTGGGGTTCTGGCTTGAGAGTGGTTGCCCCTGTGTTATTGTTACGGGGTTCAAGCTGCATTGCCACCAGGCCTGTGGACTAGTGGACATTTCTGTGGGCCAGATAGGGAGAAAGGATTCCCAGAGCTCTAGGGCAGAGGCTTGGAATATGAAAACTGCTTCTGTCCATGTTCCTGACACAGGAAGGATGTTACAGGAGAGGAGGCCAGGAGCCCTGGGATTGCCCGCCTCACGGTCCTGCTATGCATGTGCAGCTGTGTGTGTGCGTGTGCACGTGTCCATGCCTAGGTGTCAGGAGGTGTGCAGCATGAGCCTGTCAGACCTCTTGGTCCTTGAGGCTGTTTACATTTCTGAACCTCCTGTTGTCCCCAGTACGGGTCCTGACACACCATGGGGTGGGCTTCCTACACCGTGTGCTGAAACATCCTTGCCCAAGGGCCTGTGATTATAAGAGGAGGTCTTGCCATCAGCCAGGGTGGCATAAGCTGGGAGCTGTGAAGGGAGAACCCTGTCCAGGGTGGTGCACGCCTGTCCTTGAAGGCCTGAAGGGTTCGTTGCCAATGAGAACATTGCCTATAGCTGATGTTTGGGTTTCCTGTCCCTTGTGGTGGTTCTGATTGCAAAATATGGTTTTGCGGGTATGTAGTGATAATGTGTATGCCAGATATAAGGGCATCTGGTGGTACCTGAGTACCAGCGGTTATTCTCTAAGGTGCTGGTTGCATGCATGGTGTTGGAAATGCACTGTAGTGATTAGTCGTAGGTGGTGTAGTATTTTGATTACACGTTATATGACAAAAATGGCCACATGGTTATATGTGATGAGAACGCTCCATGTGATGATCACATGATTTGGTACCAATTCCTTACACACAGGTGTGGGGGTATATATCCTATTGAATGATGCTGTAGGTTGGTTACATGTGATGTCTGCTGCTTACATGGTACTTGTTGGTTCCATGTAACCTGCTGGCTTCCTGTTAAATGCTTCAGAGTGTTTACATGTCCCATGGATCACAGGGTTGTGTTTAATGTACTGGCAGTTGGTTCTATATGGACCCTCCGGGTGGGATACGGTTCCCCCCTGAGCAGAGGTGAGGGCTCACTGGGAGGACGGTGGGTAGGGGCTGGGGAGTCGGGGGCCCGGTACCTTGGTGGGGCCGTTCCTGTCCAGAGTGCTGGCCTGGCTGGTGGCAGGCCCTCCGCACGCCAGTGCGTGGTAGCTGGAATTGGAAAAGCACTGTGCATGGCTGCTACTTTGAGACAAATCTGGGAAGAGAACAAGGTGCCATACCATCATACCCCTGTCCCTGGCATGAGACACCCCAATATTAACACTTGGGCTGGGCAGCCTTGTGAATGTTCTGCAAAGAGAGACACCTAAGTCCCCCATCCCCCAAACTTTCTGGTATCCACTACCCCCACAGAAATCTGTAGATCCTAATTTGCCTCTTCCTTCATGGTGTCCCCCCCGCCCCCTGCAGGATCCAAGTTAGGCTTGCTAGTGTGGAGGGTGGCATCCAGCAGCTAGAGCATGGATGAGGAGTGTTGGCTTTGACAGCCTCGTATGTCCCTGAGCCGCTCCGTAGGGCTGTGCTGCCCTCCCCTGCCTCCCTCCAGAGATCTATCCCAGGAGTGAGGCCATAAAGAGAATCCCTCTCCTCTGAGCCCTAGCCTTGCCCTTTTGTGGATTCTAGGACCCCTCCACGGTGTAGGGGAATTCCAGTGGAATGGTATGGGAAAACCAGCCAGACTTATTCATTATAGTCATAGAAGAAAATCCCCAAATCAGCTCTGTGGGCTTGGGATTTCATCAGGGGTATTTGCTTTGGCTGAAACCCAGGGAGGCAAGCAGGCCAGGAGCTCTCTGAAGGCAAGGTTTGCACCTGGACCACCCCTGTCTACCCTGTATCACCTAGCATGGAGTGGGCACATGGTGGGCAGTACTTAGCATGAATGGGCTGATGTGATCTTGGTTTTCTGAGTCCAAGATGCTGGAGGCTGCATGGAGTCAGCTGGAGAAAGTGATCATCCTTGTGCCTACCCAGACAGGCCCAGCGTCCTGTGGCCCAGGGCCATGTGCAATTTCAGAGCATTTTGACCTCTTCTGTTTAACTAAATATGAAGCCCAAAGCCTCATTTCTAAGGTAGCAGTCCAGAGTTCAGGACAGAGGAAGGATCTGGCCTAACAGCCCCACCTCCACCCCTTTCAGACTCTAGATCGAATGCCCATTAGAGATAATTACCACATTTTGGATATACTGGGACATTGCCCAAACTTTCAACTCTCCCCCCACCCCAGGTCAGGCACCATCCCCTTCCACTGTATTAATAGGGCCCTCTTAACTCTGGAAACTGGGAGGAAGAGTTGCTCTGAGGCCTTCCCCAAGGAAGCAAAGATGGAACAGGGCTTGGAAATAGCCCCAGGGCCAGTTTCTTGAGGTGGCTCAGGCATTGGGCTGAGAAGAGGTTCCCCTGGAGAGTTTAGGAAAGTCACTGTTTAGTGTAGGTGTTCCTGTGGCCAAAGCGTGGTGAGAAAGACAGGAAGGAAGCTCTGGGGAGATGGAAGGAGACTCCTAATCATAGCTGCTCAGAGCTAGGCATCCGGGAAATGACACACTCATAAAACCCCCTCTACCTTTCCCAAGTAGGCTTCTGCTCCCAACCTCCAACTCTCCCAGGAGAGTCTGAGCATCCAGCCCCAGCAGGCAATCCTGCAAGCCTGACCACCAACATTCAGCAGTAAACACAGGTGTCCCCAGGGGTATCATGTGTCTCTTCCTGGGGGGTGGGGTGGGGAAGTGGGGGGTGGTGTGTGTGGTGTGTGTGTAGGGGTAGGAGAGGGGATGCTGGGGGCAGAGCCCTTACCTGAGAGCGAGTAGTCCGTGCTGGTCATCCTCATGGCAGGTGTATAGGAGACACGGGGAGCCAGGTCACGGCCTTTCTCTTTCTGTCTCCGCCGGCGCCAAGCAAACAGGCCCAGCAGCACCACAATGAGGAACAACAGGAGGACGATGCCTGTGACAGCACCCACCGAGTGCCGCTCTGCACCCAGCGCTGGGCTGATCTTGGTGTAGGGATTCAGCTCCTCCATCATGAGGGCAGCTGCGGATAGAGGGAGGACCTGAGTCTGGGGCAGGCCTGCTTGCTCTTCAGACCCTGGCCCAGGGCCTAGACTCCTCTCATTTTAGGAGACCTGGTTCTGGTCTTTGGCCCTATTCTTCAATCCTGTCCCTTACTGTGCCTGTTTTTCTTCAACTGCCTACAGGGGATGGAGCTCCAGGGTTATGACAAAGAACAAATGTGACTGTGGATGGCAAATAAAATAACAACGAATGTTTACGGAGTACTTTGTTCTAAAAAGTGAGTTACAGATATTCACTCATTTGATCTTCCCAGCAGCCATATAATATGGGGACTATTTAATTATTTCCCTTTCACAGATGAAGGAAGTCATCACAAGGCTAGATAACTTGACCAAGATCATATAACAGGTAATTGGTGAAGTCAGGTTCCTTAGGAGTTGGGAAAAATTGGACTCAGCCCATCTCCTTGCTTACCAGCTGTGTGACTCCCAAGTTCTCATATTGTTCGTTTGTAACATAGGGACAGTAATTCCACCCTCTGCAGGGAACTGTGAGCATCACATGACAGACTGGCAGTGAAAGTGTGCCTTTGTGCCCAGGAATACTGTCCACAAAACCCCTCCTGATGACGTACGTGTGGGCTAACTGCATGCTGATGCTAAGCCCATGGTGGAGGTCATCCTGCTGCCTGGCACCGTCTAGACCTCTCCTTGGCTGTCATCAGCAACTGGCCGAACGGAGCTAGCCAACATCCTCGGGGAAATAATGTGCTGCATTATCATTCTTTATGCTCTATCATCAGAATGCAATGGAAATGTCTTTTGGCCCCCTTTCTGTTATGTGGGTAGATTGAAAGCCCATTCTCATTCCCCATCTTCTAGACCAAACAACAATAATAATCCCTTATTTGTTTGCAGCACTTCACAAAGGGTTTTTATGTATACAAAATCATTTATTGAGTGCTTGCTTATGCGCCAGGACTGTGCCAAGTCCTCTACTCATATTTTCTCAACTTGGTCCTCACAACTGTACTCTGGGGTGTCCTCCGACTGTAGAGCTGGAGCCAGGGTTGAGCCCCTTTGGGCTCCTTGGCCCTCAAAAGAACCTTGTCTTGTGCTGGAAGACAAGGATTAATCTCTTCCCACTTTGCATGTGGAATAATAAGCTCAGTACAACGAAATGACCTGCCCAGGACATCTAGTAGAACCAGAACTGGGCCTATCTTCGACTGTCCATTGGCCTTCCCACATGAACTAGCTTGCGGTTACCCTTGTTTGGCTCACAGGAAACCTGCCAAGGATGAGCATGGGGAAGCCATGACTGAGAGGCTCCTGCTCCGACTGCCTCTAGTACACAGTACCTGGAGCCTCTGCCTGCCCCTCTGCAACACACCCCTTTGCTCTCCTTCCAGAAGTGAATAAAAGGGAAGTCACAAACTGTCCTTACAAAATCCAGTTCCCATTGGAGTCTCCCTAGGCCCTTTCCAGAGCCCCTGCCTAGGAACTCCCCACCTGTGTATTACCTTGGTCACACCGGATTCCTTTGAATCCAGAGCTGCAATAACAGGTGCCAGTGACGTGGTCACAGGTGGCATTGTTCATGCACTCGCACAGCTGCTGACACCCATAGCCAAAGGTTCCTGGGGCACATCCTGTGTAGCATGAAGACATGAAACATGCAACAGACAGTGAGACACACTTGTGGCCAGCTATGATTAGCCAGTTCTGACTCCGAGTAAAACCTATTTCCCTGTGGCTCCCATTGTGGTTTGGTTTGATGCCTGGGGGTGGATGGAGCACCTCAGCCCTGAGTGGGGGGGCGGGCACACACTTCTACTTCTTCCTCACTTGACACATGTATGCAGCATCTTCCACGTGCCAGGCCCTGAGCTGGGTGCCACTGTGGCTTCAAAGAAGAATTAAAGATCTGACTGCCTTTATTCCCTCAGTACTCCCTCAGGCGTCTGTTCTGCTCTCAGCACCCCCCATCCCTCCCCCGACCCCCAACTGGAGGAAGAAACTCAACGAACATTGATGTAGGCATGACCCCTCTTCAGCCTTTTTTCTTGGAAGCTGCTCCAAAAATCCAGGGAACAGGAGGTGCAGAGCCCTGAATGAGTGGACTGTGAAGGCAGAGGCTTCCCCGGCAGGAGGCTGATGCCTGGCACTAACACCCAGGGTCAGGGGTTGGGACAGCTTACTCTGCTCACAGTGTCGCCCGGTGAAGCCCGTGCGGCAGGTGCACTTGCCGCTGATGTGGTCACAGCTGGCGCCGTTCTGACACTGGCACACACGCCCACAGTCCTTCCCGTAAAACGCTGCAGGGCAGCCTGGAGAAACGGTGGGGACAACTGCAGCGGTACAGTTGGGACCAAACCTGTCATCTGCTGCCTCTTTCTCTGCGCACACGGTGAGGAGCAGTGAGACCCAGCACCTCACCTCAGCTGTCTCTGCACTCTGGACTCTCAGGCCGACAGGGTAGGGGTGGCTGTGAGGAATCCTTCTTAGCATGAGAGGCCAGGCTGGGGTCTCCCTGCCGTGTAGCCACAGGCTGTTCCTCCCTCTCTGGGCCCCACTCTCAGGTCTCGGTGATTGCTGGAGCACCTTACAGCCCTGACTTTCCAGGACACGGGGCTGTTCAACCCCCTGAATCCACCTAAGTTTCCCACTCCTTGGGTGGGGTGGGGTGGGGGCAGCTCCGGACCCTCGGGCCCCGCCTCCTCTCTCCCTCCACCGGCCTGGACGATGCCCAAGGCAGCCAGCAGGCCGCAGCATGAGATTCTGAATGGCTGCGAGGCTGGGAGGCCAGGAGGCAGGACTTACGCTGCGTGCAGAAGAGTCCAGTCCAGCCAGGGGTGCAGTGGCAAGCTCCATCCTCAGCGCTGCAGCTCCCCCCATTGTGGCAGCTACATGTGTGGAAGCAGGCGGGGCCCCAGAACCCTGGTGGGCAAGCTGGGGGTGGGTGGGATGCACAGGGTGAGGGCAAGGCAGAATGCAGCAGACAGAAAGGGGGAGAGAGGAAGCGGGATGGCACATCAGCCAAGATGCCATGATACACCCAGCTGGTATTTTCTGGCGTTCCTGACACACTTCCCAGAATTCCTCCACTCACCTCTTGGCCTGCTTACCCAGGATTCCCATGAAGCCCAAATTCTCTGCCCACTCTCCCAGCTCTGAGGGCTCCTGAACTTCCCTTCTCGGGGGACTGGCTGTGATTTGGAGCATGTGGGTGGGTGTGGTAAACGAAACATTGCAGTTTACAGTGTGAACACTGTGTGTTAACTTCCCCATGATGGGGACTTTCCCAGGATAGGGACTCCCCTCTTTCGTCTGCTGAGCTCCCTGAGGATGACACTTGGGTCTCCTCCACCAGAATGGAAATTCCCTCAGGCCAGGCCATCTAACTGGGACCTCCCTAGGGGTACTGTCCCTGTCTCACCCGTCAGACAGGGTGCTCCACAGGGCAGAGGTTAAGCCTCCATCCTTAGATTGTGTGGTCTCTGGGTACACCTTACAAGGCTGGGCACACCTTACAAGAACAGCCTCTACAATGCCTTGTCCAGGCTTATGTGCCCAGGACATCATTCACATGGGTCACTCAGGGGACGCCCTCACCCTTCTGAGGTGACTGCCCCGCTCTCACCTCACTTCCCCACTTCCAAACCCCAGCATGCTAGTCCCTGCCCCTTTTCCTCCCCAACCAAACTTAGGGGCTACTCCTTGCTCAGGGGCTCACGGAGTATCAATTCTTGGTAGGGTAACAATGGTACTCCCAACAATGTCAGTACCTTTCGTACTAACAGTTAATAGTGCCAATGATCAACCCTGATAACTCATTCCGTCAGCTATGGGACTCTTAACTGGGACTCAGGTGGATAGTCTTGTCTGCGGAAGGAGAATTCAGTCCTGGGAGGTGGAGGCACCAGGGGCAAAAAAGAGGTTCTGGGCAAGGAGGAGGGTGTGCTTTGGGGCCTGGCTCCTGGTGGAGGGCATTCCTTGGGCAGCTGCTTACCCTGTGAGCAGTCCTTGCCAATCCATCCAGGGAAGCACTGGCAGGAGCCATCGATGGGGCTGCAGGTCCCATTGTTGGCACAGGAGCAGAGCTGGGCACAGTCCTGCCCAAAGTGCCCTCCAGCACACACTGTGGGCACAGGACAGCCTGGCACCTGCCCTCCCACCTGTTCTCCTCAGACCCCCACCCACAGCTGCTGCGCCCCTGCAAGTTCCCAGGCCACAGCTCTGACGGCCCCGGGGCTCCCAGATCTGGGTGGGAACTGCCCACCTCCACAGCCCCATCACCCTTCTCCAATTGAGTTCCCTTCTTGTGCCCACAGCTGCATTCCTCTGGAGGCTCAATTAATGATCCCTTTGAAGGCACAGATAGGCCCAGAGGGGTAGAGTCGCTTGACTTGGGCCCCACGGATGGAAGCGGGTGAGGCCGGGAATCCCACCTCCGCCCTCCATCCAGTGCTCCCCACACTGCTCCGCAGCCTCCTGCTGTCCGCTACCATGTTCTTGCCAGCATCACTGATCCCATAGGCACGAGGGTGGACAATGTTTGTAGCTGGAAGGAGAGGGACGAGTGCAGGGGGCCGGGTCGGCCTGCAGTTAGACTGTTGGATGACTGTCTCTGCCCACCCGTTGCCTCTGTCTCTCCAAATCCCACCTGTTCCTCAAGCCTTAAGCTCAGCCTCCGGACAGCCCTCCTGGGCTCGCAAGGTGCTGTCTTCCACTGAGCCCCTGTGGTATTTCACTTTGAGTCACTTGTAGGGTTGCGGTTCTCCCCCTCTCCCCCCCCCCCCCGGAGGAGACACTCCTTGGTCCCTAAAGCAAGGGCTGGTTTCCTCAACCAGGCTGCGAGTTGCTGTAGAACAAGGTCTGAGTGTTAGTTGAGCACCGGCCTCTCATTTCCCCTGCAGTTCATCCTCCACCTGCTTCCTACAACTTAAGCTCTCTAAATCTTAGCTCTCTTCATGGCACTTCTGTGCCCTGCTCAAACATCCTCAGTGGCTCCCACTGCCCCACAATAAAATCTGGATCCTAAAGAGCAACACTTAAGCTACTTCACCTGGTGACTACCCCTCTCTCCCAAGACACATAAGCCACTGGTCCACACACCACTTTCTAATAACACCCCATGTTATTAGAACTTAGCTCCAGCTGTTCCCTTCCAGGGCTTCCCTGACCCTCCTGTCCAGCTGTGGAAATCTTACCTTGCCTATAAGACTCATTTTATTTTTATTTTATTATTATTTTTAAGTAGGCTCCATGCCCAGCATCAAGCCCAAGGCAGGGCTTGAACTCAAAGACTCTTGAGATCAAGACTTGAGCCGAGATCAAGAATCAGATGTTTAACCGACTGAGCCACCCAGGCGCCCGTAAGACTCATTTTAAAATGCTACCTTCCCCATGCTCCCCCTGTAGTAGGCTGCTAGTCCTTCAACCATCCAGTCTTCCTTAGAAGTAGAATCTGGAGTTTTAGCTGGGCTTATGGCCACCTGCAATAAAGACTTCATTTCTGAGGCTCCTGCTTAGCTGGATATGGCCATGTGACTACACTCTGGTAAGTGGAAATGTGTGTCTTTGTCCATTCCTCGTCCTTGTTGAAGGATAATGTGGATTATGGATAAGAACTGTGGATGAGGTGGCTGGAGTTTAAGCAACTACCTTCCATCAGAGGTGGAGGCGTGTGCTGAGGATGGCTGAACAGGACAGAAGGAGGCTGGCTCCTGACCTCTTTGTATAAGCTAGCCTGCCATTCTCCAGTGGTCTACTTCTGGATCGTTTCTTTCTTTCTTTTTAAGGGAAATAATGTTTGTCAGTTTCAAGCCAGGTATTTGGGGTTTTTATGTCACTTAAAACTGAACTTAATCCTGACTCGCCCATCATCTCTGTTCTGGGCAGCTATTTCCCAGCTGTTTGAACTTCCAGACTCTCTCTTAGTTTCTTCCCTGGTCTTCTGTTACTGTGACTTGTGAGCCAATTTCAGGCCAGGCCTGAGTTCTGCCCATGTCTTTGTTCTCCACTATGCCTGGAAAAAGCAGGCATGGTGGCTGAACGTATGGGAGTAAACTGGCTCCCCTTCAACTCCCAAGTTCTGCTGGGGAAGGCTGAGCTCTGAATGTCCCCCTCTAGACTACAGGCTGTGTGAGGGCAAGGCACTTGGCTCTCTTGTTTCTTGTTGTGTCTGAGTGCCCAGGACAGTGCCTGACACACAGCAAATACTCAGGAAGTATTCCAAAATGGAATACCAAAATAGGCCCCAGGAGCGGTGACCTTCCAGTGGGTTCTGCTGGGATCACTGACTCCTGTCCCTTTGAGCTCTTCTCAGTTCAACCTTCTCCCTTCAAAGCCTGGTTGTAGCCAGCCCTCCATCCTCAAAGAAGGCTTCATTGCATTCCTGTTATGGGGGAGGAATTCCTTGAACCCCCCGAGGCCCTCAGTTGGGTGAGCCACATGGAGGATCATGGGAAGGTACTGATTCTTGAAGCAAAGCAACGTACCCAGAGAACCCAGTTCTCTTAAACCTTGGGCTCGCACCCGCTCCTTTATGCCACACTGCCTCCCCTTGCCAGCCCTTCCCCAACAAGATGGTCAGATTGTGGGCAGTTGGAGCCTAGGATCTGTGTCCACCCTATGCCTTTCCTGGGCATGATCAGTGGTTGGGACAGATCATGAAGGCAGCATGGCACACCAGGGTCTCCAGTCTAAAGCCTTGCGTTTGGGTCTTAATTTTATTTATGTATTCCACAAAAATTTCTATGGCACTTATATGCACTGGACACTGTTTCAAGTGCTTCACAAATAGTTCAGTCAACCTCGTAATACTGTCAATGTTAGATATTTTCATTATTACTCCCTATTATTAACTCTGCTTCACAGATAAGGAAACGGAGGGACCGAGAGGTTAAGTAATTTGCCCAAGGTCACACAGCTCGGAAGGTCTGCCACTTACTGGCTAGGCGCTTTGAGCAGACTGCATGACCCCTCTACGTCCTGTTTCCTCATCTTTGAAATGGGGCCTGTACCCGTCACACACTGGCCTCAGGCTGTGGTTAACAGCTATGACGTGGGGGTTGGCTGATAGTGGGGCCCTGTGCTTCCCCTGGCAAAAACCTTAGCTCCTACCAGGGCGGCTGACACACACCTCGCCACCTGCAGCTCAGGTCCCAGCTTCAGCTTCCAGAACAGCAGGTTGCCCAGCCTCCTCTTCCCCACCTCTGGGAGGTGCTTGATTTGGGGAGCCCATTCTCCAGTCCTGGCCCTGTATGGGGGGTGGGGTGAGCTGCTCCACCTACCCATACCCCCCAAACCAGCTCTGAGCTTCTTTAACAAGACAGTCTTATCTTTGAAGTCTTTCTCACCCACACAAGGCTGACAAATTCACCTACAGAGCTGCTAATGCGATCAGTCTAATACATTAATTGGTCGACTTCTTAGCTGAATCAAGAGTGAGGCAAAAAGGGGTGGTGGAGAAGGGGGCTGGTGAAAAGAAAACATCCGGTTATATTTAATCTATGTTTAATGATTCTGCATAAGCAGTGTCTGTAATTTGTAACTCGCTGGAAAGCCGGTCATTAGAAAGTGTCAGTTCAATTTTTTACAAGGTTTGAGACTTAACCAGGGCAGCTGCCATTAATAGCAAACTCTATTAGATCTATATGTGGAAAATACTCATTAGACCAGCGGGCGATAAATCAGACATCGCAGGATCCAAGACTTACTCCTCGGGCTGCTTAGATCCTAATTTAGACCCAGCCTATCTGTATTGACGGCTGGGTCTCCAATGTTTAATAAGTAAACCTCGACGTGTCAGGTTATGATTAAACTGTCCTGGGAGGACTGCAAGCAAATGAAACTGTCACATATGCTTCCCTGGGGCCCAAACTTCTCATGACCTCAAAGCATCATGGAGTGAACTTTCCACTCATACATATTAACGGCCCATACACTTACAAAGCCAGCCCAGCTCAGTGGTGATTATTCATCAAAAGAATCTGTTCCCCTGGGAGGTAGCGAGCTCTCAGTGGAAGCATTTAAACACAGGCCAGATGAGATTCTTGCACAGATGACCTTGAAGTTGCTTTTAGCTCTTAACGTTTACCTTAGTCTAAGATCTCTTTGCTCCTTATAGGATAGAGTGCAAATTCTGTAACCCTGTGTTCTAAGCTGTCCCGAGGGCCCCAGACTCCCTTCCCAGTTCCCTCTGCCATCCCCACCCAGCCCCCCGGCATCCTTCAGCCACTCTCTACTGCTGGACAGTCAGATGTCCACACCCAAGCTGTCTGCTCTACCCACAGTGCCTTCCTGCCTTCTCTGCCTCTTAGGCTGAGGCCTCACAGAAGGCCTGCAATAGCACGGAGCCGCCCCCCCAAATCTACACCGCCTTGGCCTAACTGAGCCAGGGATGGCAAAAAGCAGCAGTATTTGCTGGAGCCAGCTTCTACCCTCACACTGGTTGTTAAATATTCAGGAATTTTGTGACCCGTGTCAAACCCCTGGTACCACGGAATCAGCCGTGGTGGAGACATTCAGATCATGGAACTTGCTTGCAAATGTTACAAAGCAAGGCTTTTCCCCCACAGAGAGCCAGTTTAGCAGCACACCAATGCAAATGAGCTTTGTCTCCCTTTCCGAGTCCTGTTGAGTGGTGGAGGTTGGCTGGAGTTGGCGTTGCGAAGGATTCTGCCGCTGAGACAGGAAAGTGTGCCGTGAGGGATCAGCGATGTTGGCCTGAGTGTGGGGGGAGAAGGGCTGGGAAGCTGCCATCTCCAGCTCCTGCCAGAACTGTCCCCTCTGAGTTCCCACGTCATCCTCTGCCTTTACCACTTGGCACTTGGCATAAGCCATTTGGGGACACTTCTTATGCAGAACTCATCTACGCTAATTTCATTTTTCATCAGCTTTGGAGTCGGAATTTCTCGGCTCTGCCACTTCCTAGCTGTGAGACCATGGAGAAGCCATTTAACCTCTCTGAGCCTGTTCCTTTAACTGCATAATAGCTTCGTCTCACGCCTGGTGGTGACCAATTCTCAGAAGGGTAGGCCCGAGCCCTGGTGAGGCAGGGAGCTGCCTCCACGGAGTATGATGAGAATCCCCCAGCCCCTCCTTCCAGCCGCTTCCTTCCCAGGATGCCTCACCTCCCCGGCCCACACTTGCCCTGGAGACACTACCTTGGTTGCAGAGGGCTCCGGAGAATCCTGGGAGGCACTCACAGATGCCGCTGATGTGGTGGCAGGGCCCACTGCTGTGCACGCAGAGGGGACACGGCTGGGCACAGCCATGGCCATAGAGCCCAGGGGGGCAGACTGGGGATGAAGTGGAGATGACGGTCAGCAGCCTCAGGGGCCCCAGTCAGCTTGGCTACCTGTCCTGTCCCACACGGAGATGAAGGGCGGCTCCTCAAGAGTATGGGGAAAGCTGTCCCCACCCTGCACCTTTGAGGGCCTGTCCCTTCCTGCAGAGAGAAGCTGTGGTCTGGTCCAGTTTCCACTGAGGAGCCAGGCTGGGCCCTGAACTTAAGAGACAGAAGAGCCAGCGCAGGGAGAGAGGGGACCAGAAGGGAGGGGTTTGATGGGGGCCGACCCTGAGAGCCCAGCCCTGACTTGTTCCAACAGGGAAGGGGTGGGGAAAGTGAGCCATCTGTGGGGTGGGGGGCTCAGCCTTACTTCTCTGGCATAAGGTTCCTCGGAAGCCAGGGGAACACTCGCAGCTCCCATCCTCTGGGGAGCAGGACCCGCCGTTCTCGCAGCTGCAGGAGACGGAGCAGTTGGGACCCCAGCGACCAGGCGGACACATGCTGTCACATCGGATGCCTGTGGGCCGGGGGTAAATTTGGGTCAGTGGTAAGAGGAGTGAAGGCAGAGGGAAGGACGATGGGAAGGGGCCCTCTGCAGAATGAAGGGGTGGAGGTGAGCACAGTGCATCTGGGAATGTAGAGGAAAACTCCAGTCCAGGCTTGGCTGGTCAGGGAGGGCTTCCAGGAAGAGGTGATGCCCAAAGTGAGTCAGTCCTAAGGGCCACGGAGGAATTTACCAGGTAAAGGAAACTCTGTCCAAAAATTAGGAGGCAGGAGAGAGAATCACGCCTTAAAAGAAAACAGCATAGTGTGGCTGAGCCACAAAGTACAAAATGAGGTATGGCAAGAGATGAGATTGTGGGACCAAGAAGGAACCAGGTCATGAAGGGTCACCTTCCTTTTTGACATCTTCGCTGGAATCCAAGGTTAGGCTTGACAGAAACCAACTGTGGGGCAAGGGAGTGCTGTCATGGGGCTGGCTGCAGCAGCTGGGGGTGAGCTTCGTGCCCACCCATGTCAGCCTAGGAGCTCCGGGGCCTTTGGGTTCCAGCCAACCTAGGGTGCAGGCCCAGACGGTGCGTGGGGTCTCTTCAGAGTCTTTTGACCATGGCCCTCAGCGCAATGTGGATTTTATTTTATTTTTTTAAAAGATTTTGTTTATTTATTTGACAGAGAGAGACACAGCGAGAGAGGGAACACAAGCAGGGGGAGTGGGAGAGGGAGAAGCAGGCTTCCCGCCGAGCAGGGAGCCCAATGCGGGGCTCGATCCCAGGACCCCGGGATCATGACCTGAGCCGAAGGCAGACGCTTAACGACTGAGCCACCCAGGTGGCCCTGCCTGGAACGTGGATTTTAGATCATAAGTGCACATACGTGTATGACAGAAACCAACACTTTGCAAAATGACATTTTACTGTCACTGGAGGTGATGCACTCTGATGTTTTCTCTGCACTGCGATGTACTCTATTAAGAAAGAGGAAGAAGGCCTACATAATCTTTTGGAGCTGAGATAGAGCGAATATGTACTGAGGTGATTACAGCCCAAAGGCTAAGAAGGAATTTCAAAAGGCCTGAGGCTGGAGGCCCCAGCTCTGGGGTGGGGTTTCCTCTTGGGCAGAAATACTTCCAGTCTGACTTGCATTAGGCGAACGGAAGGCGTGGGCCCAGGAAACTGGCTCGGCTCGGGAAGGCGAACATCAGAGGCTCAGAGAAGAGAATTGGTTTAAAAATCATGTCTGCCTTGTTACAGGGACAGGGATTACGCAAAAGAGACAGAAAGAGGGAGGAAGACTCTCAGGCCCAGCGAAGAGAGCCAGCCCGAGCAGCAGCAGGAGAGCAGTGGGACCAATTTGGAGGCAGGCTGGAATTGTACAGCCCACCCGAGCCCGTGGGAAAGGGAGGAGAGGGCTGAGCAGCCAGAGAGAGCAGAGAGGGAGGGGCCGCAACAGGGCTTTACTCATCCTCCAGCTCTCGTCTAGTCTAGCGCCCACATTCCCTCCCTGGCCTCCCTCCCGGGGACATCTCAATTTGGCAGCAGGGCGAGGGCTTTCGATGCCACTCTCTGAGAAATGAGGCCTCTCTGTGGAGGGAGGGAATCTGGCTGGCCCGCTTCACCCCTTGATGGAGGTCTCGCCCGGTGCAGTTTCAGGTGCTCAAGGGGCTAACACCCGGACAAAGCCCGTGCACGGACCCGAGGGGAGCCTGAGGAAGTGAGAACCACAAGGCTGCTCAAAGCTTTGGATACAACTTCACGTCTCCCCTTCTCTGGGGACACAGGAGCTGTGACCAAGGAATTCTTCTGTGGGAAAGCCCGGATCAGGCTGCGGGCCGAGGGACTCTGCTGTTCCCGGGAGGCACCCTGCCACCTGACAGGGACCTCTGATCCCATCTGTGCCCCACGTGCTCACGTAGTCTGACCAAGGCACACGGGTCACACTGCTCTTTCCTAAACCCGTCTGCACACCCTGCTGTAATTAATGAAACCCAATGCATGCAAAAGCCCCCTTGAATTCATGGCAGCTTGTTGCTATCGAGTGTTCTCCCAATCAACGGGTATTTAAAACTACAGCTACTCTCGTGTGGGACCCTCAAGATGTTTTCACGTCCCAAAAGGGTTCTCTTTCTTGGGGATTGAGAACCATGGCTGCAAGGTGATCATGCAGATGGCAGGTGGTGGCAAGGGCTCACTGTTTTTAGGATCTGGCAATTATTATATTCTAGGCCTGGTTCTGTGGGAGTGGGGCCCCTGTTGGAGGTTTTCATATGTTCTAAGAACTCCCTGGAAGTTAAGACACTCCCTGAGTGGGGAGAAGGGTCTAGGGTTTCCCACTGCGTGGAGAGCCCCGGTTCTACTAGAGTGCTCAAAGGGGCTGCCCCTTGGCCTGTGAGAGGGTCTTCCAAGCACAGCTTCTGAAGAGACATAGCTTCACCAGTTACCTTATCTAGGCCCTGTTTTCCCTAGTTAAATAGGGATAATAATCCCCCTCAGAGGTCCTTCCCTGTCTTATCCCTAGGGAATCTCCCTGCTTTATTTTTCAGGACTCCCTACACATCCATGTTGATGGGTAAAGCTAGGCTAAGAATCCACGTAGCGTGACCTCAAGTCCATGCCACGAGGCCAGCAACTCAGCAGTCTATATCCTTCAGGGTTCGCTTAGGGTCCTCCTTCTCCAGGAAGCCCTCCCAGATGTCTGCTCAGGGATTCAAGCATCTATTGGGTAGTCAGTGGCATACAGCTTTGTCCCTGCCTATTATTTGAATGTTTCATGCATAAGTCTCATCTCCCCTGCCAGCAATTTGAAGGCAGGGAACGTGGCTTATTGACACTTTGACCCTCCTTATTTGGTGCTCCTGGTGGACAGGATGCCTTCTTGGTTATCTTTGCTTCTCTGGTGCCCAGCATGGTGTCTGGCACATAACGGGCGTCCAGGGACCATTGCTGTTATTGAATTTTGCTATTTAACGCTGGGCCCGACACAGTGCTGGATACATGGTAGTTGCCAACTAAGGACCTGATGATTGCTTGAGTCAATAAATGCTAATTGAATGAATAGATGGCTCCTTTTTACGATGCAATTCCATGTCCCCATCCTATTGGCCCTAATGCCCCGAGACCCTGGACAAGTCCCTTTCCTCATCTGTAGTCTGAGGAGGTTAGAGTAGATCACCTTGGAGGTTCCTTCACTTCAAGGGGAAAAACTCATATATGGTTACAGCCCAGCTTCTTTCAATTTACTTCAATAGACATTTACTAAACACCTGCTATGCACAGGGCAAAGTGAATGAAACATGGTGGCACCTGTCAAAATCTGTGGTTTGTGTGGGCAAGGGGAGAAGACCTGCACATATTTAGGGCAGAGCAAAGCCACTGTTGAGCCAAGGCATGAGCAATATGCCAGGGGCTGGGAAGTCAGAGACAGACTTCTTGGGGCAGGGGTGGGTGGGGAGGGTTCACCGAGTGGGAGTCCAGGTCTTATGCCTGCATCCCCTCCTTTCCCTGCCTTGGTCCCCTTTTCCATTACAAACCTCAGGACATCAGTCACTCCTTTGAAATGACTTCAGGACCATATTTGGGAAAATTGGCTTTATATGAGAACAGCAGAGGCCTTGCTGAAAAGTTGCCCATCAAAGACAGAATTTTTAAGCACTAGCATTAAAATCTTATCAGCGGCTCACTTGAAATTAAGGCCATGAAAAATTAAAGCGGATTTCCACTTGGCTCCAGCTAGGAATCTGGGGGGCCAGTGACTAGGGTATGAGCCTTACTCTGTACCACAAGGCCGGGCAGGGGAGCCAGGTCAGAGATGCTACCGAGGAAGCAATATCCCTGGGCTTTCTGCTGCTCAGACACTTTCTGGTTGTGGAAAACAGAGGCTGCTCAGCAACCTGGTGTGAACGATTATCTGAAGACCCACACTGCCAGGAACGCCTGTATCTCTCCCTCTGCCCACCACCTTGGGACTGCATGCATTCACCCAGCACAGCGTTATTAAGCACTTCCCGTATTCATGGGCTACATTTATAGAGCACAGCGCCATGCCCTGTTAGCACTTGCAGGTATTAACTCATTTAAACTTCAAAATGACCCTATAATTGCAGGGATTATAATTATCTGCATTTTATGGATGGAGAATTCAGGCCCTGAGAGGTTAAAGGACTCACTCAAGGTCACAAACCCAGGCAGTCTGGCTCCAGCTCTGTGTTCTTAACCACCATGTCATCTCTCGGTGGCAGGCAGTGGACACAGGGGTGAGCAAGGCCCGCCCTGCCTCCAGAGAGCTGATGGTCTAGTTGAGGAGGCAGATAATAAAAAAATACTCAAATGACTGTTCAGTGACAATGGAGGTAAGTATGGCAAAGAGAAGAGTGTAGGATATTACGAGAACTCATAAGAGGGACTCTTACATAGTCTTGGCTGGGTGGTAATGGGGAAGGGCATCATCAGGTGCAGAGAAAAGGAAAGAGCAATGCCTGTGGAGAGAAGGCACACACAAAGGCCTGGGGTCAGGAAGGTGGTCGGCCCAGGTAGCTGCAGTGTAGTGAATGATGGGACGGGGCAAAAGGGAGGTGGCAGAGTTGGGCGGGGGCCAGGTCAGAGGGACCCTGGGCCACTGTGAGGATTTTGGATTTTCTATAAGTGCCATGGGAAGCCACTGAGGCACTCTGAGCAGGAACTGATGTGAATGGAGCTGGGGTTTGAGAAGTTCACTCTGGCCACCATATGCAGAATGGATGCAGCTGGGCAACAGGGGAGGCCCAGAGAGTAAGGAGGAGGCCGGGGCAGAGCCAGCTGAGAGATGGTCCTTGGAGGACCAGGATAGCAGCAGTGGGATGGGTTTGCCATGTGCTTAGGAGATAGGCTGACAGACACATATAAGGGACCAGGAGTGTGAGGCTGGGCTAAGCGGAAGGTCCCCGTCCCCCTCTCGACCATATCCTCCGAGAATGCAGATTAAGCACCTGTGCTCACCATGTATTAGCCTCTGTCTGATTTTTTACTGGTATGTCCCTAGCCTTTAGAATGAAGCCTGCACATACTAGGTGTTCAATAATTGGTTTGCTTGAACTGTAGGGAACAGAGAACTGAGGCCCAGAGGAGAGAAGGGAAACGTGCATGCATAAGGAGCAAGAAGAAGTGAAAGAGAAAGAGAAAGAACAGTCAAGAGAAGTAGAACACCTAGAACCTGGTTTCCCAGGCCCTGGGTGGGGGCGGGGGGCGGCGCAGCGGGGGCGGTGGCTACCTGTCCATCCGGCAAGACAGCAGCAGTGGCCCGTGACAGGATCGCAGCCATCCGCGTGGCTGCAGTCACAGCGCTCACTGCAGTTCAGCCCAAATGTGCCGTCCTGTGGAGGGAAGGGGACAGAGAAATGATCAGACCTAGACTCCCAGAGCTTCACACACTTCTGTTAGATTTTGATAACAAAAGTGAGCCTCTGCCCCATGAGGATTTAGAGAGACTGTGGCCAGAGCGGAGTGGGAGCACTTTTTATCACTGATGAGCCACATAGCCACGAGGCCATGCCAAATAATTCTTTGACTACATTAACAGAAGTATGGGGTTTGGAAGGAGAGGGTGATGGTCTTGCCCTTTTTTTTTTTTTTTAAGATTTTATTTATTTGAGAGAGAGAGAATACACAAGCACAAGCCGGGGGAGTGGCAGGCAGAAGGAGAGGGAGAAGCAGACTCCCCGCCGAGCAAGGAGCCCTATGTGGGGCTCGATCCCAGGATCCTGAGATCATGACCTGAGCCCAAGGCAGCCACTTAACTGAGCTACCCAGGCACCCCGGTCTTGCCCTACTTCTTGATGGTTAAGCTCAAAGGGGTGTCGTTAGTGATTGTTAACTAAAATTGTAAATGAGAATGCACTTTGCAAATCAGAATGCATTGATCACATGTGAAGAATGACCGATTTGTTCTTTGTTTCTAGGGAAGACGGATGGTGGCAACTGACATCTGCCGCGTGCTCATTAGGTATCAAGAGCCTTTTATCACTCATTTCTCCTAATCCTCACAGCAGATCTATGGGATGCTTCCATTATATTCACCATTTAACGATGAGAAATAGGGTCAGAAAGCTGAAGTAACACGTTCAAGGTCACATAGTTAGGATGTGGCAAAGTCAGCATTTGAACCCAGGACTGCAGGCCTCGTTCAACAATACCATATATTGGTTGGTTTAACGTGTTTGTCTCTCAGACTAAGATCTGGTGATTAAGTCTGGGTGGCTATCACTGAATAGTGCTTGATTTTGCCCTCTCATACCCTGATCATAAAATTATCGAGGAACAGTGACTCTGAGGGATTGGTAAGGGCTGTCCTGTAGCACTGTGTTGGGAATGATTCTGAGGCTGCCTCTGGGCTCAGGTCAGTGTGCCAGGGTCGATTAATAACGTTGACCAAGCACAGCAAGGGGGGAGTGAGGCCAGGGTGCTACGCCTGCCAGATATTTGCCATTTTATAGATGCAAGACCGGAATCCAAGGGTCCCACTACCGAGGCCAGTGCTCTTCTCTGCACACCTCTGCGGGAGAGGGGGAGAGGGCTGTTGGGCACTCACTGGGCAGGGCAGTTCGCAGGTGTCTCCGAGCCAGCCGGCAGTGCACGAGCAGGAGCCATCTGCGGGGCTGCAGGCTGCCCCGTTGGCGCAGGCGCAGCTCTCGTTACAGTTCAGGCCCCACGTCCCGCTGGGACACGGCAGGGTGCAGTCCAGGCCTTGCCACCCTGAGGCGGGGGGGGGGGGGAAGGGTCTGTCACCTCTCCATCGGGGCCCCGCACGGCTGGCTTTATGCCTACTCCCCCAGCTCTGTCCCTGCCCCCTAAACCACCGTTTCTCTGATCACTGGGTTAGAGCACACATTCCACATGGAGTCGGCTCCAAAACACAGCAGGGCTGTCAGGAGACCTAGGGCCAGCCCGAGGGGCTCCTCCTTCCTGGTTCTCACTGCTCTTGCTGCAGGTGCATGATCCCACCTGGGACAGGGCACCAGCTGAGATGCGGAGGTCTATCTCTGCCTGGAGTGGGATCAGGAGGCTTATTTTAGGGCCCTTTGTTCTTAGGACAGGCTGGTTTCCCCGTTCTGAGGCTGGTCATTAGCCTGTTTGCTCTCAGATCCATTTCTCCCCTTCCCTGGCTCTGATCGGTGTCACAGGAGGCTGGTCCCTGCAGCTGCATATCCCCGGCTTCCCCCTCAGCTGGCTCCCAGGTGGGCTTCACCACGGGAGACCTGGCCCACAGACTGGAGGTGGGGAGCAGGAGAGACACCTTTGTTGGCCTTGGCAAGGCCTCTGATGGTGGTGTGGGCTGGGTCTCCCCATGTTCCACTGCTGTCACGCAGCCCCTCTATCCACGTCCCAGCTCTCACCAGGTGGCCCTCACTCCCAAGCTCTGGAACACCACTTCCTCCATCTGTCCCTCCCACCCTAGGAGTGGTAGCAGCTTCTCCCCCCCACTTGTGATCTCTGGTTTGTGCACTTCCCCTCGTGTGCTCCCCCAGCGATTAGAACGCGATTGTAACTAATCCCCTCTATTACATTCCTCCTACTGAAGTCCCTGGCCTGGGTTTCCTTGGCTGGGACCTGATCTCTAAGCTCCCTGACCCTGCGTGTGGGTGGATGAGGCAGGGACAGCCCAGACTCCCTAGCCGGCAGCCCACCTGGGCAGTGCGCACATCTGAGGGGGATGGGATTGGGCAAGAAGGCACATCACCTTCCTTGCAGGTGCAGGAGCCATCCACGGGGGAGCAGGTACCACCGTTGTTACAGCCACAGAGAGACGAGCAGTTGGGGCCATAGGTTCCTGTGGCACATGGAACTGCACAGACCTCTCCCTGGAAGAGGAGGAGGTGAATTTTGGATCAGACGCTGTCCCACGCTGGGGGGCTAGGGGAGGCAGAATAATGCCCTCCCCTCCAGCCCCCACAAAAGATACCCATCTTCTAATCCCTGGAACCTGCGAATATGGCACCTTATGTGGCAAAGGGGACTCTGCAGATGTGATTAAGGACCCTGAGATGGGGAGAGTATTCTAGATTAGGCAGGTGGACCCAATTTAATCACACGAGTCCTTAAAAGTGAAAGATGACTAAAGCCGGTCCTCCATCAGCCTGTGTTGACCTTGAAGATGGAGGAAGGGGGAACACAGCATAGGGAGGTAGCGGCCCGTGAAAGATAGGAACCACCCTCATTTTAGAGCCAGCAAGAACATGGGGACCTCGGTCCTACAACCCGGGGAACTGAATTCTGCCAACTTCCGGAATGAGCAGGAAGTGGATTCTCTCCTGGAACCTCCAGAAAGGACCACAGCCTGCAGACCTTGACTTTAGTCCGATGAGACCCAAACCTGACCTACAGAACTGTAAGATAATAAATCTGTGTCGCCTTAAGCTACTAAATGCATGGTAGTTTGTCACAGCGGTGATAAGAAACTAATACAGTGATTGTCACCAGTCGGGGGAAGGGTCAGGCTTCCCGACTACAGCTCCAGGTGGGCAAAGCCCCCGTGGAACTGGACCCCCGAGTCTGTATTAGGTCCCAGCAGCACAGAATGCAACCCTTTGCCTCTCAATATTATTTGACTCTCACCAACGACCCCATGACACAGATAAGACGACTCTATCCCCATGAACCTGAACCTCAGAGAAGTTTAATGTAGACAGTCATAGTTAATGTCTACTGAGCGCTTTCTCAGTATCAGGCGCTTTCGTACATCATCACGTTTAATCCTCACAAGACTCGCCAGAGACTGTTGCCTCAGCATTATTCCCATTTTATGGATAAAGCAATCGTATGGAGAACTTAGGTAACTCGGCCCAGGTCAGGGCGCTAAGAACGGTTGATCTCTACTGGCACCCAGGCTGGTTGCTTAGTCATTCTGTTACCAGCTGTCATAAACTGGCTTGCCCAGAAAGCATTGTCCGAGATGGAGATTAGCGAGCTCTTGAGAATGGCCCCCATGGGGGCAAGGGAGGCAGGACGGGACAGAGGGGGATCCTGCACCAAGGTGGCTTCTGCTGATCTGCCAGGAAGCTCTGAAGCTGCAGTGGCCCTTGGAATCGTCCAGCCAGCAGAAAGGGAGGGAGGACCTTTCTACCCCACGCCCCTCCCCGACAAGCACTGGCTATCTACTGCCCCGGGGAAGGAGGCATGGTTTCAGACGAATTGGCCCCCTCTGACTGAGAGGGATGCAGCCAGGAGCCCCTGTTTCCTGAAGCCGGGGAAGGAGTGGTGCCTCAGGCCCAAAGGGTGAATCTGAGGGGCACACTACGGCGTCCACTACACCAGGTCTCCGGGGGTAGGCGATTCGTTCCAGGGAAGGGTTCAGAGTGCGGGCAAGGGCCAGGGCAGCGGGGACCAGGAATGGCGACGTCAGGGGCCTTGCGGGGTGGGAGCATGTCAGCTCACCAGAGAAGAGTGAGGTGAGGGCAGTCCAGGTGGGAAGGGTGTGACAGGAGTGCAGAGGAGCTTGAGAGCTGAGAATGTGCTAAGGGCGGCTGGGGGAGGGGTTTGTGTAGGGAAAGGTGAGGGGGGGTATTTAAAGGGGAGTTGGGAGCCTTAAATGCCAGGTAAGGGGGTTTGGGCTCTCTTCCTTCCCCACCTCAGGAGCCCACTTTTGGGGCTGTCTGCTCTGGGCAGGTGGTCACTAGAAGTTGGAGTCCTTCACCAGAAGACTCCATGGTTCCCACTCTATTCTCTGCCAGTCCCTGGCAGGCCCTGACCAGCTGGAGTCTGCAGCACTCCCATTACCCAGAAAACTCTTAACTTTCCCAAGACTATAAATAGCCCCTAGGAAGATATTTAAGCTCTGAGGGCCTTGGCCCGCTTGCAAATTGCATGCACAGCTTATAAGTTTCTCTGCATGAATTTACTTCCAGGGAGAGGGGTTTCTCTCCTGATCTCCTCGTTAGTGTCTCCAGCCCCGGTCCTCCCAGGGGGCCTCCAGGGGCCTGTGAGCCCAGCTGCGAGTCTGCTGATGGGGCTCAGAGAGGACCCTCCACCCTGGCCCTACTCCAGGGGCCAAGATGCGGAGTGCCCAGCTTGGAATATCTGGCCCCCAGAATGTTACACCAGGGCACCATTTCCTCCCAGCGAAACCCATGCAGGAGTATCGACAGCTTGAGGTCGCCAGGCTGAGAGGACTTTCTCCTTCCCAGAGAAGGAAACAGAGACTCAGTGACTTATCCAGGGCCCCATGGGGTATTCGTGAGGAGAAAGTATCAGATCTTCCTTCCGGAGAGATGGCAGAGCCCTGTGGTTAGAGAATGGACTCTGGTGCCATCCTGCTTCCGCCACACTTACTCACTACATGACCTTGCACACTTAACTACTCTGGGACTCAGTTCCTGCATCTGTAAAATGTGAAAAATAACGTCCCTACCTCGTATGATTGTTAAGTTATATCTCAAGTAGAGAGAACCGTGCCTGGCAGGTAGAAAGCGCTGCAAAAGCTGTTATTATTGCAAAGAAATATCGCTTATGGAAGGAATACACAAAACTCTCCAAGGTTTAGGCATAAGGCAGCTCTGGAGGAGGGATCTATCTCTCACTCAATGAATCATGCTGGGCCCTGTGCAGTGGAGGAGGGCTGGTGCTCACAAGGGGGCAGGAATCCTAGCTTCGTGCCCCCAGGTTCACCTTTTGCTACCCGCTACAGGCTGGAGCCCTGGCTCTCCTCCTCAGAGCTAAAACAGGCACACACCAGGGGCATGGTCTTGGGGGACAGAATGACCGCCCACTGAGGGGCTACTGTGTGCCAGGAGCTCCTCCAAACACTTTCCATTTGTTAGCTCCCAATAGCAAAAAATCCAAAGAGGGAACTGAGCTGTTTCTAAAGTGAAGGGATGTGAGCGTGCAACAGCTTAACTCCCAGCACCCCTTCTTCCACCCCGCTGTCCTGACTCCTGCCTGGTTCACACTCCTCAAGGAGCACAAGTACTAACAAGTGAACTCTATGTCCGATTCCCTACTTCTGGCCACTGAGCTGAGCGTCAGGCCTGGTCTATAGTTGATTGGCTGTCTCTGGTGATTGACATTCACAGCAAGCCAATAATCAGCCTAACCTGTCCGATTTATTCATTTATTTATTTTTAAAGATTTTATTTATTTATTTGAGAGAGAGAGAGAGAGAGGGAGAGCACAGATAGGCAGACTGGCAGGCAGAGGGAGAGGGAGAAGCAGGCCCTCCGCTGAGCAGGGAGCCCGATGCGGGGCTCGATTCCAGGACCCTGGGATCATGACCTGAGCCGAAGGCAGACGCTTAACCGACTGAGCCATTCAGGCGCCCCTAACCTGTCAAGATTTAGACTAACAGCTCTGCCCACCTCCGGCCATCCCCTGGCCAAGGTGGAGTGATTTCCATGCTGCCCCAGGTACCGGCTCCCAACACACAGGCCATCCTCTCGTGCACACCTCCCCAGATTGGGGGACCACTAACAGGCTTTAATCACGAAGGCCTGCGAGGCGCTTGAGTCTACAGGGTATTTGTGTCTACATATGCCTAGGTGGTCAGTGGGTACACCTAAGAGTGTGTGTGTGTGCACGTGCGTGCATGCGTGTGTGCTTATGTGTGTGTCTGGGGGTATCCGTTTACCTGCCTGGGTGGATTTGGGTAGAAATTTGTGACTCCTTCCTCATCTCCCGCCCCCCGGCCCTTGCTGTGTTCCCTTCCCAGTCCTGCCCTCATGGGAATGGGTGCATACACAGCCACCACCATCTGAGCACACTGGGGGTCCTGGTTGGCTCATGTGCCTGCCTCTGCCCTAGGCTGGGGGGCTCAGGGAGACAGGGATCTGGTTTTATTCATGTCTAGATTCTCAGGGCTTGAGCCCTGTTGGTTCATAATGGGCCCTCAATAAATGTTGTTGAATTGCAATGCAATGTTTGTGCGTACACGCTGGCTTCTCCTGTGGACAACCAGAAGGACTGGCTGGGCACCTTCCATATGCTTTCTCTCTCCTGCCAGGCAATTCAACAAACGCTCGCTGCATGGGGCCAACTCTGAGCTAGCCCTGGCTGCGGAATCCGGGGGCTCCCAGGATGCTGAGACTCTCCGCCCTGGAGCAGCTCCCAGGCAGTGTCCACACAGGCACACTCCTGCCCGTGTCCAGAGGTGCCCATCTATCTAGGCACAGAGTACATGTAGTCCATAGTGTCGTGCAGATGGCTGAGGGGCCCTCGTGGGCCCAGGTTCCGTGGCTCCCATCACACACAGGACACGGAATATTGTCTAGTCTAAGACTTGGTCCTGTGCTACGGCACTGACTCTGGGCCTCTCTGGGGGCTCTTGTGAAAAGGAAAAGCCAGGCCAGATCCTGCCCCAGCCCTGCCCGGCCAGGCTGAGGCTGAGAAGTCCAGCTGGAAAATTAATCTGTTGGCCGCCAGGGCGTCCGCTCAGGGAGACGAGGCCCCCTGAGCCGAACAGGACGGTAGAGATGACCAAGCCCAGGGCCTTCAGGAAAAGGAGACTGCGAGCCAGAGGGCCAGGGGCTGAGACCCGTGGTGGGCCAGTGCTCCTTAGGAGACCGGCTGAGGGACCACGTCCTGTCCGCTCCCCCCCGCCCAGCCTTGGCCCAGACCAGCCCTGAACCCATGTCTGTTGATCTTTCCACACTCGGGGGGTAAGAACAGGACACGAGGCCAGGCTTGTGAGCACACATCAGAGGTGAAGTTGGGGAGTTTGCATTCAGCATCTCCCATGCCTCTCGTAGCTTAGCACTCGCACCCCCACTCCCTCAGCAAGGAGCACCCCCAGGCCCTGGACTGAGGCTGTCCCCCAAGATCCCTGTCCAGCACATCTCTCACTGCTGTGAAGACAGTGTTCTCTTCTGATGGACTTGTGTTCATGCCGGGTAAAATACAGGCCTTGGTTTCCTGTTCGATTATATGCGGTTATCAAAATCAATCCATCTCCCCGACTTTTCGCCACCAAGGACCCTTGTGAGTATCCTCCCTCTAAAGCCCTCTCAGTCTGAAAGACGCTGCTGATCCTCTGTGCTGGTGTCTAAAGCCAGTCACGTACTGAACAGGTGCAATTTGGCCAGTGACCACATGCCATGTGACTCAGGTGGTAGCATCTTGTCCACCAACCATGACCTAGAAATTCCGATGATGTCACCTGCAACCAATCAGAGCTTCTGAAGAACGCACGCTAACCTGAAATATCACATTGACTTAATTTAATTCTAATTAAAAGCAAAAGAAAAACCTTGGTGTTTTAGTTCGCTTCATCACAGGTAATGGAAGGCTGCCCGTAGGCTCTGTGAAATGTTCAAAACCTCTCTTGGCAACCTGCTGCAGCCTTTGCAACGGTCTAGCTGGGAACCACTGGCTGGGTTGTCTCTAAGGGCCCTTCAGCTCTGACTCTCTGAACATCTTCTCGCCTGCAGCAGGGGTCTTA